CTTTTTGCTCCCCATCTATATAGTCCCATTCTCATCCCTTATACCTCAAAACCCCTCCCTTTTCAGTTTCCCGCTCTTTATTGCTCCGCCCACTTCCTTTGTCTGTGATGGCGGCTAAATTCGACTTTCATTCAGTTCAGAATCAATAGTAATACAATCAATCAATCCCTTATCTTACAAAAACACAAATGTTTAGTTTAAACTCTGTTCAACCCCAGCTCTCAGAACCTTTGTTTGAGGAGAGATGCATTAGGCCACAGTCTGGTTTCAGTCTCTGATAAGGTAGGACAGCCATGGATTTAAGTAAGAGCGAGCAATTCGACCCTAGGTCAGATTCCCACTTCACCCACACACAGTGAAATGACCCAATTACGTTCTTTGCCAAGCAACAAAGAATTCTAACTCTATGTTCGTGATTAACCCAGTTTTATCTCATAGTTCACTAAGAAATCTCCCTCAAGCCCACAACAGAGAACAAATAAAGTAGTTCTTGTCTCACCTCCTTCCCTAAAAAAAGGCATATTATGCAATACAATTTAGCCTAAGCTATACATTGGATAGCCTATTCGTATCAAGTATCTATTTTCATAGTGTGAATGATGGAAAGTAACATTTTTAATCAAATGATTAATAGGCATCAGGAAGGTGCATGTAATGGTGTTCTGTAATGACTGTATTTATGCTCTGCAACCACATTCTCTGTGTCTACATTCATAGGTCATGGACAGGACACACCAGACAGGACCCAACGGACCTAGAGCCATCTTAGGTGGTGCGTACCCCAGGCTGGCAAACCTGGATAAGGTGTTCTTTGTCCTTGATGTGATGTTCTTCAAGGTGACATTCTGGTGAAATCAACCCTACTCCTGGTAATGTCATATGTATGCATATAATCAGTCTACCATAATTCTATCTTCAGTATAACTGCATAATATCCTACAAAAGCTAATTTGATGGGTAGCCAGGCTGGGACTCCCTGTGACAATCAGTCCAACACCTTTGTCCAGGGGTGTCACACTCAATTCCTGGAGAGCCGCGTGTCTATTGGGTTATTTCCTTTGAATTTGTGTTCAATGAAGACCTAGAAAACCAGGTGAGAAGAGTTCCAAACTAATAAACCAACAGACATTGCCTCTCTGGGAATTGAGTTTCACACCCCTGCCTTAGTCCTTATGTCAAGAGGTCTAAGCATAACAATACATTTTAAATGCACCAATTTCCAAAAATAATATGGTAGCTGGGATTTGTTTATTTTGATTGCAAAACGTTTTACACAGCAGCTGCGCCCCGATTTTAAGTCCCAATTAGGGGATTTGATTAAGCTGGCCCAGGCGCCTGGGTGGGCGAAGATTTCACCGGGTGAAAAGTGATTGTATTTGTTTTGAAACCGGGGTGCCTCCTGGGCGTGAGCCAGGTGACATAATGAAGTCGGTTTAATACAAAGTGACGTACAGTGGGGAGAACAAGTATTTGATACACTGCCTATTTTGCAGGTTTTCCTACTTACAAAGCATGTAAAGGTCTGTAGTTTTTATCATAGGTACACTTCAACTGTGAGAGACCGAATCTAAAACAAAAATCCAGAAAATCACATTGTATTATTTTTAAGTAATTCATTTGCATTTTATTGCATGACATAAGTATTTGATACATCAGAAAAGCAGAACTTAATATTTGGTACAGAAACCTTTGTTTACAGAGATCATATGTTTCCTGTAGTTCTTGACCAGGTTTGCACACACTTCAGCAGGGATTTTGGCCCACTCCTCCATACAGACCTTCAGGTTTCAGGGCTGTCGCTGGGCAATACAGACATTCAGCTCCCTCCAAAGATTTTCTATTGGGTTCAGGTCTGGAGACTGGCTAGGCCACTCCTGGACCTTGAGATGCTTCTTACGGAGCCACTCCTTAGTTGCCCTGGCTGTGTGTTTCGGGTCGTTATCATGCTGGAAGACCCAGCCACGACCCATCTTCAATGCTCTTACTGAGGGAAGGAGGTTGTTGGCCAAGATCTCGCGATACATGGCCCCATCAATCCTCCCCTCAATACGGTGCAGTCGTCCTGTCCCCTTTGCAGAAAAGCATCCCCAAAGAATGATGTTTCCACCTCCATGCTTCATGGTTGGGATGGTGTTCTTGGGGTTGTCCTCATCCTTCTTCTTCCTCCAAACACGGCGAGTGGAGTTTAGACCAAAAAGCTCTATTTTTGTCTCATCAGACCACATGACCTTCTCCCATTCCTCCTCTGGATCATCCATTGGCAAACTTCAGACGGGCCTGGACATGCGCTGGCTTGAGCAGGGGGACCTTGCGTGCGCTGCAGGATTTTAATCCATGACGGCGTAGTGTGTTACTAATGGTTTTCTTTGAGACTGTGGTCCCAGCTCTCTTCAGGTCATTGACCAGGTCCTGCTGTGTAGTTCTGGGCTGATCCCTCACCTTCCTCATGATCATTGATGCCCCACGAGGTGAGATCTTGCATGGAGCCCCAGACCGAGGGTGATTGACCGTCATCTTGAACTTCTTCCATTTTCTAATAATTGCGCCAACAGTTGTTGCCTTCTCACCAAGCTGCTTGCCTATTGTCCTGTAGCCCATCCCAGCCTTGTGCAGGTCTACAATTTTATCCCTGATGTCCTTACACAGCTCTCTGGTCTTGGCCATTGTGGAGAGGTTGGAGTCTGTTTGATTGAGTGTGTGGACAGGTGTCTTTTATACAGGTAACGAGTTTAAACAGGTGCAGTTAATACAGGTAATGAGTGGAGAACAGGAGGGCTTCTTAAAGAAAAACTAACAGGTCTGCGAGAGCCGGAATTCTTACTGGTTGGTAGGTGATCAAATACTTATGTCATGCAATAAAATGCAAATAAATTATTTAAAAATCATACCATGTGATTTTCTGGATTGTTGTTTTAGATTCCGTCTCTCACAGTTGAAGTATACCTATGATAAAAATTACAGACCTCTACATGCTTTGTAAGTAGGAAAACCTGCAAAATCGGCAGTGTATCAAATACTTGTTCTCCCCACTGTATGTCAAGCACGCGGAGTAATGATTACAACACATGCAAAGTGTTTGCTCTTGATAAAAAAACGTATCTGTACTTTATCGGTCTTAAACTAGTTTAATAATTGGAACATTTATTTATGGAAAATACATGCTGTATGTCTCAATACTCATTTTTTTTTTTTGGGGGGGGGTGGGTTTGCAGGTTTCTAAAAACCTGTTTCGCTTTGTCATTATGGGGTATTGTGTGTAGATTGATGAGGATTTTAATTTATTTAAACCATTTTAGAATAAGGCTAATGTAACAAAATGTGGAAAAAGTCAAGTGTTCTGAATACTTTCCGAATGCACTGTCTGTCATTGCACATCTTCATGTTGTCTTTTTTCTTTCCTGCTGCCAGGACCAACCAGCTACCTGGCTCAGTCCACTCCTGCTTCTTGCCCCTCACTGTGCTGGGTAACACAGGGTCACAAACCAGAACAGGCTGGAATAGTAAGTGAAAGAAGTTGTCAATGAGTTTCAAGATAGCAGGTAGCCAGCTATGCAGCCTAAGACAAGAATCGGCACACAAAAAGGGCAAGGACATCATTTCTAACCAGTATGCCTTCCTACCATCGGGGCACAGGATAGTGGAGGTGGCTTCTAGCTTTATACCTGCCTCCATAAGGCTACTGAGTGCTACACTCTGTCCTAGCCACCCTGGCTGCCTATTTAGCGATTTATGGATACATTTATTAATAGGCTACACCCTCATGCACTGCATTTTATTTGCTAATGTACACATGCTCTGTTTTTGAATGTAATAATGCACTGTTGTGTGTTTTAAATGAAAGTGTGCTTGATGTATCTGATGCCACAAATGAAATTCCTTCTGGGAAAATAAAGTTAGTCATACATGCTATGTTTTGCTATGAAGTGTTTCCAATAGCCTTAACTTGAATATTGAATCCATTTGTCACGCGCGTGCTGCAACAGGACTGTGCTGTTTATCTCCATCACAGGCTATTTACTTATGTACAAGACACATTCTTCTTGCTCTTCCATGCTGGCAACACTTGTCTTCTTTTGTAGAGGGTCCAAGTGGGAGTGAGGTCAGTGAAGATGAGTGAGGTGAAGCAGGGGCAGGAGGAGTTGTCAGAGTAGGCCTATATCTAACCCGAGCAGGATGTGGTTTAAGAGAATGAAATGGAGAGTTAGATGTATGATATGGGATATTTTATGCTGATAAATGGTCAATTCATGATCTACCATGACCTTTTTCCGAATTGGTTAAAATAAGGTTAGGTTAATGGGGTTAGGGTTATACGCTTAATAACCAAATCCCATACTTTACTCTTGAAATATATCTGTGACTTTATTCTCAAATTGTCGACATTATTCTCAAAATTGACTTTCTCTAAATTAAATGTTTTGTTTAATCTCGAAACATTGCCACTTTTTTACAGTACTATTAATGCAACAAAAAAAATATCCAAGTACCACCATCCATAGATTTCTTTCTCTTCAATTGGCCCAAAAACTCCTCTGTAAGACATAGCCCTTATTTGAAGTGTTTCTAAAATCCCCTATGGGAAGAATGAATGGTGGAAAAACGATTGGAACCATTTCAGTGTTTGACCGCTAGGTTGTATGGGTATTATGACTCATAATGTGGTACTCTATTAAGAGAGTTTCGGCTAGCTGTTGTCCAATTTAATGGCTCATCAAGGCATGAACTGTGACCAGCCACCATCACTACTGTAAGCCCAGTATTATAATAAACACACAGCATCTAGAGTACTTTTTCATCAACATATGTGTTTTAATTAATAAAATAAATAGATTAGAAATAGATTTTTTTCAAGACTTTCAAAATGCAGATTTGTATTAGGGTCCTGTACTGTGTGACAAAAAACAACAGGACAATGAGTTTTTTCCGTATGCAGATGATTGTAACCACCTCAGCTAGGAAAGGAAGTGATTATGAGATCGGTTTGCAATATGCCTAATTCCTTAGATAAGGGAGAGCAGTCCATGTCCAGACTTCCTCGGTGACCTCAAGTACTCATTTACTCTGTCTTTTATGTTTTTTCGGGTTGCATCACTCATGGAAGGAAACTTCTGAGACACAGTGGTCCTGATGAACATTCGGAGGTTCACTGGCAAGCCAAATTTGCCTCGTGATCCATCCCAGTTGGTATTCTGTTCCCACTCGCGGTATCTCTCCTCAGTTACACATGCACGGAATAACAAAACAGCATACCGGTCAGGACGGCCCCCGCTGCGGTTGGTGAGCAGTTCATCATATTCTGGTGTCAGACGAGGAATGGAAATGTCAGGGTGAACTTTCGAGCGGTATACATTAGAGCGTTTCGGGTAAAGAGCGCCCTGCTGCTGGGTGTGTGCATACTCCTCCCCCTTCCTCTTTTGGCGCCATGCAGTGGATCGGGGCACAGCTGGGCGGCTGGAAGGTGGTGGGGAAAGAGTGGAGTCCACGGACTGGCTTGCTGTGGCAGCAGCGGGGCCTCGATCCTGCAGCACAGACGCAGAATTAGAATACCTATTACAATTCTACTTTAATCTATTCATAAACAGTTGAAGTCGGAAGTTTACATACACCTTAGCCAAATACATTTAAACTCAGTTTTTCACAATTCCTGACATTTAATCCTAGTAAAAATTCCCTGTTTTAGGTCAGTTAGGAACACCACTTTATTTTAAGAATGTGAAATGTCAGAATAATAGTAGAGAGAATGATTTATTTCAGCTTTTATTACTTTCATCACATTCCCAGTGGGTCAGAAGTTTACATACACTCAATTAGTATTTGGTAGCATTGCCTTTAAATTGTTTAACTTGGGTCAAACGTTTCGGGTAGCCTTCCACAAGCTTCCCACAGCTCCTGACAGAGCTGGTGTAACTGAGTCAGGTTTGTAGGCCTCCTTGCTCGCACACGCTTTTTCAGTTATGCCCACAAATGTTCTATAGGATTGAGGTCAGGGCTTTGTGATGGCCACTCCAATATCTTGACTTTGTTGTCCTTAAGCCATTTTGCCACAACTTTAGAAGTATGCTTGGGGTCATTGTCCATTTGGAAGACCCATTTGCGACCAAGCTTTAACTTCCTGACTGATGTCTTGAGATGTTGCTTCAATATATCCACATAATTTTCCTTCCTCATGATGCCATCAATTTTGTGAAGTGCACCTGTCCCTCCTGCAGAAAAGCACCCCCACAGCACGATGCTGCCACGGTTGGGATGGTGTTCTTCGGCTTGCAAGTTCCCCCTTTTTCCTCCAAACATAACGATGGTCATTATGGCCACACAGTTCTATTTTTGTTTCATCAGACCAGAGGACATTTCTCCAAAAAGTACGATATTTGTCCACATGTGCAGTTGCAAACCATAGTCTGGCTTTCTTATGGCAGTTTTGGAGCAGCAAGGAGGAAGCCACTGAGCGGCCTTTCAGGTTATGTCGATATAGGACTTGTTTTACTGTGGATATAGGTACCTGTTTCCTCCAGAATCTTCACAAGGTCCTTTGCTGTTGTTCTGGGATTGATTTGCACTTTTCGCACCAAAGCGCGTTCATCTCTAGGAGACAGAACGCGTCTCCTTCCTGAGCGGTATGACAGCTGCGTGGTCCCATGGTGTTTATACTTGCGTACAATTGTTTGTACAGATGAACGTGGTACATTCAGGCGTTTGGAAATTGCTCCCAAGGATGAACCAGACTTGTGGAGGTCTACTATTATTTTTCTGAGGTCTTGGCTGATTTCTTTTGATTTTCCCATGATGTCAAGCAAAGAGGCCCTGAGTTTGAAGGTAGGCCTTGAAATACATCCACAGGTACACCTCCAATTGACTCAAATTATGTCAATTAGCCTATCAGAAGCTTCTAAAGCCATGACGTCATTTTCTGGAATTTTCCAAGCTGTGTAAAGGCACAGTCAACTTAGTGTACGTAAACTTCTGACCCACTTTAATTGTGATACAGTGAATTATAAGTGAAATAATCTGTCTGTAAACAATTGTTGGAAAAATTACTTGTGTCATGCACAAAGTAGATGTCCTAACCGACTTGCCAAAACTATAGTTTGTTAACAATAGTTTTTAAATAGAAATTTGTGGAGTGGTTGAAAAACAAGTTTGAATGACTCCAACCTAAGTGTATGTAAACTTCCCGACTTCAACTGTACCTTCTCACTGATGGCTCAAAATATTATTCAAGTTACTTTCTTGGAATTCCCTTTCATTTCACAGACCTGCTGCCATTTCATTGCTCCATTTTCCCTTATGTGAATATTCTGATGCTTTACGAGAGTACTCTTTACCTTACAGCAATCATCACAGACCTGGCACTGGAAAGATTTCTCATCATGAGTCTCCATGTGCAGGTTCAGATTATATTTGCAAGAGAAATATTTGCACAAAATCAGACATTTCCATTTGATAAAATGTGTGTCAACCTTAGTTTCAAGATGATCTACTTTGTTTGGACATAAAGCGTTTTACACACACACCACTGACAGGTTCTCTCTCACTAGTATGCACTCTAATCATAACAGAAAACTTGGTGTGAAAGGAATCCCCACATAACTTGCACCAATGAAGACCAGCAGTACCAATTTCACTGACCCGTGCTCTCTTTGATTCCGGTGGCTTTGACCCTGATGGAAGCTCTCCACTCGCCAGACGATCTACACTGAGGATTACACTGTTTTCACACTGAACAGCAGAACAGTGATTAAATGCAGAGACGGGCTGAGGTTCACTGGTTGGTTCTAATGACATGTATCCATTTCCATCAGGTTCTGTTTTGATCTGTTCCGTTGAAATGCTTGGTAGAGAGGCTCCCTGTCCATATTCCTCACCTTTGGTTTGGTAAATATGTGAAGGCTTAGTTGAGTCCTGATTCTGACACAAGCTTTTGACACAAGCAATAGTGAATATAACGTTAGGGTCTTTGGACTCCAGAGCATGAAGATGCTCTCTCCCATGACTGGTCCTGAGCTCCTGTTCATAAATCTGTGTGGGCTCTGGGTCCTCCATCCCCAGACTGGGGCTCCACTCCTCCTCACAGTGCTGCTGCTCAGGAGGAACCTTTTCAGAGACAGGGAGAGTGAGCTGCTGTAGGTCTGGAGGAAGGATGAAACAGATGACTAAGTGAATTCAGTTGACAAAAATAATAAACCAAGACAACATAATTGTGCCCCCCCCTCCTCTCCTCACATCTGTGAAGCTATACATGTACTTGGTGATTTACTTAAAGGGTGTATATGAAACAAGGGGTCATGGAGAAGGAAACCCTTCACCAGGCACCACAGTATTGTTTTTCTGACTATTGATTAAAATGATATGCCTAAAAATGTATCTATATGAATTTTAAACCAACGGTTTGCAAAGTACTTTTGAACGTTCGGGACGTTTGGCGTTCTGAAACAATGGACTTTGACGTCACTCAAGGGAACCAGTCAATCAACTGCAGCATATTAACCAGAAAATTGATAGCCCATTGCCTAATACCAGAATTAAGATGGACCTGCCTATTCATTCATATAGGCATCTGATTCTAGAAATACAAATAAATCTCTATTTCGAGCATCCATATGCAACATGCCTACATGATCAATGGCTTGCGATTCCCATTTGCAGAGATGATCATGCAACGCATGCTAGCAGTCGGGAGCTATATTGGTGGATAACCTTACCTACTTCATTGCATAATAAATCGCTGTAGAAAAATTCATCATGAACTCATTTAGGCCTACTGGAACATGACAGGTAGCCAAAGGCAGGCTACCTCTTTTTATTGCTAGTTATTGATTTATTAAAATGACCGTAGCATTTCTGTTGTCAATACTTCGACCACAATACAGTAGCCTAGTAACTACAGTAGCGTAGTTGAAAGGTGGCTGTAGCAGTGGAGACGAGGGAGCTCGAGGCTATTACAAGCGGCACTCTGCCCATCAATTAGGCGGTGGTTCATTTGAATTTAGAAAATGCTCCCTTTTTAAAAAGAAATAAATGTTTTGCTCCATGAAGTAATCCAACAATGTGTACGCTGGCATCTTGTCTATGTCATTGATTGAGACAGGTGGGTCCACCCAAAAGTGCCGCATGTCATGATGACACTCACCTGTCTCGATCAATGAGAGAAGATTTGAAATAGACAAAATGGCGGCATACACATCGTTGGATTACTTCATGGAGTAAAACGTATTTTAATAACGGAGCATTCAAATGATCCACCTGCAACTGGACACAGACATTTTAGAAGATACACGTTTGGCCGAATTGAGAATGAAAAGTATCGCCAAGTTAAGGTTGGTTGAAAATTCTCTGTGCTACGCCAAACAATATTATCCTGTAACGGGTCATGGAGAATTTTTTATTTTATTTTTATTTAACCTTTATTTAACCAGGTAAGCCAGTTGAGAACAAGTTCTCATTTACAACTGCGACCTGGCCAAGATAAAGCAAAGCAGTGTGATAATCACATTAACCTGTTACAAATCTATTTATACTGAACAAAAATATAAAGACAACATGTAAAGTATTGGTCCTATGTTTCATGAGCCAAAATAAAAGATCCCAGAAAATGTCCATATGCACAAAAAAGCTTATTTCTCTCAAATGTTGTGCACAAATGTGTTCACATCCCTGTTAATGAGCATTTCTCCTTTGCCAAGATAATCCATCCACCTGACAGGTGTGGCATATCAAGAATCTGATTAAACAGCATGATCATTACACAGGTACAACTTGTGATGGTGACAAGAAATGTGCAGTTGTCACAAGTTTTGAGGGAGTGTGCATTCGACATGCTGACTGCAGGAATGTCCATCAGAGCTGTTGCCACAGAATTTGTTAATTTCTCTACCATAAGCCTGGTGGACAACGTCATTTTAGAGAATTTGGCAGTATGGCCAACTGGCCTCACAACCGCAGACCACGTGTATGGCGTAGTGTGGGCGAGCCATTTGCTGATGTCAACGTTGTGAACAGAGTGCCCCATGGTGGCGGTGGGGTTATGGTATGGGCAGGCATAAGCTACGGACTACGAACCCAAATTGCATTTTATCGATGGCAATTTAAATGCACAAAAATACCATCTCTACCATAAGCTGCCTCCAACGTCGTTTTAGAGAATTTGGCAGTACGTCCAACTGGCCTCACAACCGCAGACCACGAGTAACCACGCCAGCCCAGGACCTCCACATCTGGCTTCTTCACCTGCGGGATTATCTGAGACCAGCCACCCGGACAGCTAACGAAATTGAGGAATATTTCTGTCTGTAATAAAGCCCTTTTGTGAGGAAAAACTAATTCTGATTGGCTGGGCCTGGCTCCACAGTGTGTGGGCCTGGCTCCTAAGTGGGTTGGCCTATGCCCTCCCATGGCTGCGCTCCTGCCAGTCATGTGAAATCCATAGATTAGGGCCTGATTGACTGATTTCCTTATATGAACTGTAACTCAGTAAAATCGTTAATTGTTGCACGTTGAGTTTATATTTTTGTTCATATGCCACCAGAAACCAACTGTTTTTCTGCAAATGCACGTAAAAAGTAGTTTAAAACTAAGTTTTACTTTTAAAATTAGGTGAAATTAGATTGCTATTGGCTGTGAATAGGCAACTGGGTGGGTGGTTGTTGAGTTGTTTTCTAACAGTTGTTTGCCCTGCTAAAATGTTTCATATATACACACTTTAATAAATTAACGTTACTAACCTGCTCTATGCAACTTTATCACTGGTTTAAGAACGATATCAAGCAGCTTCCGTAGCTTCTCGTTCTCCTCCTTTGAACGAGTGATTTCTTCCTGGTACTCTGCCACCGTTTTTTCAACAGCCCCAAATATCTCATCAGCAGCCGCTGTTAATCGTTCATTGAGAAGCACTCTCAGCAACGATATTTTAGCCATTTTTGCAGAATGAAAGTCGTTGTTCTGTACTGTCCGAACAAAATTTCACATTGACTCTCTTCCTACGGAACAGCACAAATCAATGCAGTTGCTCGCATGCTCTGTTCCTCGTTTATCGACTGAGCGGCGTGACAAAAGTTGCATTACCGCCACCTGCTGTGGAGTTTGTGTAATGGGTTATCTGATTCAATCGTGGTGTCAATAAAGCGACTAGTAGCAAAGATTTGAAATGAATTGATCCATGAGTAATAATAATCATTGCCTTTAGATGTTATTCAACGTTGGATACTTAAGCAATAAGGCCGAGCGGGTGTGGTATATGGCCAATATACCATAGCTAAGGGCTGTTCTTAAGCAAGACGCAACGCGGAGTGCCTGGATAAGGCCCTAACCTAACCATGGTATATTGGCAATCTACCACAAACCCCCGAGGTGCGTTATTGCTAATATAAACTGGATACCAATGTAATTAGAGCAGTAAAAATACATGTTTTTTCATACCCGTTGTATACGGTCTGATAGACCATGGCTTTCAGCCAATCAGCATTCAGGGCTCGAACTACCCAGTTTATAATAATACATTATTCATTGTCAAAGTTCACGGCACAAATATTCTTCCACAAGTAATTCTGGACAGGTCTCCGTGCCTCTGGAACCGAAAGACCACCGCACAGGAAGCTGCGCTCTCATTGGTCAGTATAGTAGAGCCCTGCATTGCATGAATTTTAAGCCCTACCCATGCCCGCGACGTTACCCTACCCAGGCCCGATTGCTTCTGTCAAATTTAAGGCCCGGCCCTGCCCGAAACCCGAAATCAGAAATAACTTCCTCCATTAGTAAATCATTAGCTGCTCCTCTCTGTCTCACTCGCTCCCTGCACGCTGCTTACTCTGCATGCGCTCTGCTTATGGCGGCTCTGGGTCTGTGAGTATCCACGGCTCTGCTTGGGCTGCTCAATGATGAGACGAAATAGTAGTTAGCTGAGCTACTTTTTGTCACTCTAAACTCCGACAAAACTCAAGTAACATTATTATTTTCTGCGAAATAATATCTCCTTTTTTTTTATTTGACAAGATTGAAGCACTTATGACACCATGTTATGACCTTAGTCAGATATGACTGTACTGCGCTGTACGGGCTTGGATCGGGTAGCAGAGCTCTATAGTGTAGTCAGAGAGTTGAGAAATGTCGAGAAATCAAAAGGGATGGTGTAAATTGGTGACGTTCGTTCAGTTTCAAACACCTTTCAACGAGACCTCTACGTTCACAAACTGTAAGTAACTTTCATTATATTAATAAATGGCTGTAACAAGATCGAGGTGACCTTTGACATCGACGGCAATGGCATTCTGAACGTATCAGCGGTGGACAAGAGCATGGGCAAAGAGAACAAGATCACCATCACCAACGACAAGGGGCGGCTCAGCAAAGAGGATATTGAGAGGATGGTGCAGGATGCCAGCAAATACAAAGCTGAGGACGACGCACAGAGGGAGAAGATAGCAGCTAAGAACTCCCTGGAGTCGTACGCCTTCAATATGAAGAATATGAAATAAGTTTATAGGTCTGTTGGCTGTTTCCTTCTCATCATAGCAGATTCAGTATTCACAAAAAATATATAAATAATGGAAACAATACCATTAAATATTGTAAACAAAACTTTGATAGATTTCTAAACCACCAGAGAGAGGAGAGCAGGTGAAGACACCTTAATGGCCACTATTTATCAACTCTTTATTCTGTGATAACATCTGATACAATCACTATGGCCATTCTTGGAAAAAGAGGCACATTTCTGGTTATCACAAAAGTAAAATCGTTACATTTCTGGCACATATTAGGTCTATAAAAAAAAGGAATACAGGTCACATTTTCCTTACTTTATGCTTATTGGTGTCAAGCTCAGAGAACCAAATATAATTGATTTGGAATAATTAATATTCCTTGGGTCACTGAAGGAAAGTACTAGATGAAAACCGTTATTTTATTATAATGTATATCTTTTCATATTTTATTTGGGGTATAGGGGAGGGTCACATATATTTTTTCAAGCGTTCAGGGAGGGTCAGGAAAAAAATATTTTACTGAAGGGAGGGCCACCATTTTCATTTCAGAGAGATCCGATTTTCTCCAGGTATCCCTCATTATAAATAACGTACAGTCCATTATAAAAAATATCTGAGACAGCTACGCCAAAATCGTGGCAGGAACAGACATACGGAAACTTGAAGACAGCACTTTCTAGCTGTATTCAAAATACAGCTTCTCTCCCTTTCAAACAAATGCTTGGCATTTTAATAGAATACATATTATGACTCGCTCATCCCATGTCAATACGGTAGTTGAACTGGGAAGAATAAGGGAATATTCAATGCAGTCGTCAACATTTAGGAAGGATGTTCACGTAATATCCGTAGGCTTAAACCGGGGAAAGTTATTTCCTGAAGTTGACCAGGAGTGAATAAGTCCTACTTTGAGCTCTCACACCAACCCAAACCCTAAACAAACACTAGATGATTTTCACGACTAAGACATTTGGTGCCATTACAGAACAGCTCGGACACAAATGATTGATAATGGAACCGTCAGAGAAATATCAGAATGACGACAATGGTAAGAACGTCACCTAGCTAGCCATCAACAAGTGCTTTAGCTAGGCTAGCTTGATTGCTAGCTAACTAACCCTTAGTGATAGTCAAAACTCACAAATGCGTTTGCATTTCGGAATGTAGATACAGATCACTAAACATTTACAAAATGTTGCTATTGCTGGAGCTGTCACTTGCTGAGTGAACTCTTTTGACCTTTCTGTTACTGCCACAAAGTCAAAATTGGCTATATCGTAAAGATTAATAAACGAAAATGTACTTTTTGGTCTTAATTTAAGGTTGGAGTTAGGCATACGGTTAGGTTTAAAATCAGATTTTAATAAGATAAATTGTAGAAATAGGCGGGGGTTTAGCCATAATAATTATGATTTTGTGGAGACGTCAGTCAACCTAGTTAGAAGCTGTGGCAGTTGTGTGCTAAGGATGGCCTTTTCTCTACTGAGAAACAGCCAAAACAATGTTATGTCAGTTCGATTGTCAACAGGTGATTGATAAAAACAGCTCCTGTTGTATTATTGTACACATATTATTACATTCATGAATTGCTTTGCATGTGGTGTTTTGCAATGTTATTGACATCGGAAGGAATAGCCTGTGTAGTAGGTCTAAGTGCAATTGCTTGCATTATCATTCTTTATGCAGCTCATAATATATTTTGAAGTCAGTCTCTCTCTAGGACTGTTGAATTCCATTCACAACCTTGTATTGTCCTACATTCACCATAAACATATCTCTTATGATATCTCTCAATTGTTCTGCTTGTCAGATGCAATGGAGAGCTTGCAGGCCCAGCTAGCAGATTGCCGAGCGCAGCTGGAGCACTGGCAGGGCGTGGCGACGATCTGCGAACTAAGCAAACAGGAGGAGCTGGGAGAGCTGCAGAGACAGTGTGACCAGGAGATCCAGTCTCTTCAGGAGGCCCTCAGAGGTCAGAGAGAGAGATACACACAGTGTGACCAAGAGATGCAGTCAGAGGTGGAAGACACCTTTTCTACATACCAGTGTTTCCCTACCAAAGTTCCCCCCCATGCCTTCTATTCGTCATCTGTTCGCAATGGTGGCTATGGTCAAAAGTATTGCACTAGATAGGGAATAGGGTGCCATTTGGGACACAGAGAATGTGTAGGACCTACCTAGATGGCCTGTTATTGTCTGTCATCATCTCCTTTCTCTCTCTTCTATTCTCAGAGACTGCTTCTCAGTATGAGGCTAGAATATCTACTCTGCAGTCTGAGCGTGCCCAGTGGAGGAGAGCCAGTGTGCAGTCTCAGGTGTGTGTGTGTTCACCTCAACGTTACTAAACCCATTTCTTTGTCTCTGACTCTCTCTCTCTCTCTCTCTCTCTCTCTCTCTCTCTCTCAGGGCAGTGTAAAGAAGGACAGGTTGGAGGCAGGAGGTATGCAGTGCGAGGGCCAGTCGACAGACTCTCCCACCAATAGCCTCAGAGAGCCAGGAACGATGGATGGGATAGCCAACCAGCGGAGGCTGAGGGGCCGGGGGAGGGTGAAGGGGCGGGGCTGGAGGGCTATTTCTCCCAGAACTGTGACTCCGCTTCTTTCTCCTCATTCTCCTTGGACACCCCCTCACTGCCCCGCCGTCCACCCCCCCAGGAAGACACCGCCTCCTTGGTCTCCACGGGAACCCTGGTGCCCGAGGCCATCTACCTGCCCCCGCCCGGCCACCGTCTGGTCACACACACCGAATGGGACTCGCTTAACACACAGGTGAACACACACACACACACTTTGACATCAATTCACTAAGCAAACAAGTGAGCACTAGCCACACAATCACACTCCATCTAGGACTTATACTGAACAAAAATATAAACGCAACATGTAAAGTGTTGGTCCCATGTTTCATGAACTGAAATAAAAGATCCCAGAAATGTTCCATACACACAAAAAGCTTATTTCTCTCAAATGTTGTGCACACATTTGTTTACATCCCTGTTAGTGAGCATTTCTTCTTTGCCAAGATAATCCATCCACCTGACACGTGTGGCATATCAAGAAGCTGCTTAAACAGCATGATCATTACACAGATGCTGGGGACAATAAAAGGCCACTCTAAAATGTGCAGTTGTCACACAACACAATGCCACAGATGTCTCAAGTTTTGAGGGAGCGTGCAATTGGAATGCTGACTGCAGGAATGTCCACCAGAGCTGTTGCCAGAGATTTGAATGTTCATTTCTCTACCATAAGCCGCCTCCAACGTCGTTTTAGGGAATTTGGCAGTACGTCCAACCGGCCTCACAACCGCAGACCACGTGTAACCACGCCAGCCCAGGACCTCCACATCCGACGACTTCACCTGCGGGATTGTCTGAGACCAGCCATCCGGACAGCTGATGAAACTGTGGGTTTGCACAAACAAAGAATTTCTGCACAAACTGTCTGAAACCGTCTTCGGGAAGCTCATCTGCGTGCTTGTCGTCCTCACCAAGGTCTTGACCTGAATGCAGTTCGGCGTCGTAACCGACTTCAGTGGGCAAATGCTCACCTTCAATGGCCACTGGCACGCTGGAGAAGTGTGCTTTTCACGGTTGAATCCCAGTTTCAACTGTACCGTGCAGATGGCCGACAGTGTGTATGGCGTTGTGTGGGCGAGCGGTTTGCTGATGTCAACGTTGTGAACAGAGTGCCGGATGGTGGTGGGGTTATGGTATGGGCAGGCATAAGCTACGGACAATGAACACAATTGCATTTTATCGATGGCAATTTGAATGCACAGAGAGACTGTGACAAAATCCTGAGGCCCATTGTCGTGCCATTCATCCGCCAACATATACGACAGCGTGTTCCAGATGCCGCAAAATCCAGCAACTTTGCACAGCCATTGAAGAGGAGTGGGACAACATTCCACAGGGCACAATCAACAGCCTGATCAACTCTATACGATGGAGATGTGTCGCGCTGCATGAGGCAAATGGTGGTCACACCAGATACTGCTTTTCTGATCCACACCCCAAAACATTTTTAGGGGCATCTCTGAAACAGACAGATGTATACCTGTATTCCCAGTCATGTAAAATCCATAGATAAGGGCCTAATGAATTTATTTCCATTGATTGATTTCGTTATATGAACTATAACTCAGTCAAATGTTTGAAATTGTTGCATGTTGCATTTATTTTTGTTATGTGTACTTAAAGCCTGTTAAAACAGTCAAACACACCAACGTTGGCTATCAAACAGGTGAGCAGAACTGTACAGGTCTGGAGTGGACTCATGACGTCTGATCTGTAAATGGTGTGGACTCATGACCTGTGGTGTGGTGTGGACTCATTATCTCTGATGTGGACTCATGGCGTCTGATGTGGTGTGGTCTGATGTGCAGGTTGTGGAGCTGGAGGGAGAGCTGAGTCGACTGAGGGAAGAGAGGACAGAGCTGGACATACAGACTACTGAGACTCACAAACACGTACTCACACCTTTACACACATGGCATAGACTGTATATTGAGAAACGTCAGTTATCCAAGGAATTGAATGTGAATGTTACTGTATGTCTCGTGTGTGTTAGGTCTCAGTTCTCCAGTCTCAGGTTCAGACTTCAGAGGCCCTCCTACAGGAGCTGCAGAAATCTTTCAACCAATCACAGAATGCCGTCCATAGCAGGCTGGTGAGTGACAGGCACCTGGTCCAACCAGGGAGGAGGGGGATGAGGTCCATGTAGTGTGTGTGTTTGAGGTGTTTTGTGTGTGTACTTGTGTGTTGTGTTCCAAGGCGGAGCTGTCTCTCTCTCAGAGGAGGGTGTGTAGCGAGCTGTCCAGGCTAAAAGGGGAGGAGATCGAGGAGACGGATGGGGCAGGGGACGCCAACACACCACTTGGTCCTACACTACAGGTACAGTGTGTGTGTGTATATGCGTGCACGTTTGTGTGTGTGTTCATACAGTCTAGAATCATTGAAATACATAGGAAACATACTATTACTGAATGCACTACTGTACTCCCACCTGTAGGGGGCACACAGTGAGGAGAGGCTGCGTATCGAGATCGTCAACCTGAAGGAACAACTGGAGACCCGTGTGGAGGAGAGCGGTCTGTTCATCTGCCTTTCCTTCGCTCTTTCCTTGTGTTTTTGTTTCTTTCTTTGTGTTGATGAGTGTAATAGAAACTGGCAGCTGTATGTTGGTTTTTAACCATTCTCTCTTTCTCTCCCCTGGTACTGCCTCAACAGAAGTTTTACAAGGTGAGTGGGCATTGTTATGTGTGTGTGTGTGTGAGAGAGAGAGAATTTGTAAGTGTGTGGTACAGAAGGCCATAGGAATTAATCAGTAATGCATCACACACAGGCAGTTGATAACAAGCGTTGACCGTAGTAAAATCATAGGTTGTGTTAGAGTAGTTAGCCTAACGAAGCCGACTGTAGACGGAAGTTGACAAGTGAAGTCGGGGGAGGTGCATCTGCCACAGCCGAAAGTCGGACACTGTAGTGGTTTTCCAACAGCAAGGCTCAGCTCAACATGGTAGTGTCAACATAGCTGCTAACGTTTATGAAAGGTTTTCTTTATAAATGTCTAAATAAACTTTTCTTTACCCCCAAATCACACACTCACAAACTGAAAACATAACGTACTTTCTGAAGTGCCTTCAGAAAGTATTCACACCCCTTGACTTTTTCCACATATTGTTGTGTAAGAGCCTAAATTTAAAATTAATTAAATTGAGATTTATTGTCACTGGCCTACACACAATACCCCGTAATGTCAAAGTAAAATTGTTTTTTGAAATTTGTACAAATTAATTTAAAATGGAAAGCTGAAATGTGACCCACCACCTGGATTCGGTCTTATGTAGCAACATTTGAAATTGTGTTTTTCACATTGGATAAAAGTAGAGACTCAGAGCTAGATAATACACTACAGTTCAGGAACAATAGGAAAATAACCCCACTTTTGAGAAAATGGCCCGTGAATGTTTTGGTACACCTGGAGAGCTCTTCTTTGTCTACACCCATTCAGCATCGTTCACACTTGCTTAAGCCTCACCCATCTCTTTAAGGATTCACATGTGAGGCCAAGTGCTAAACAGAGTGAAGACGGTAGTGTAGTAAACATCCAAAGATTAAGTCTAAAAGTGTTGAAAGTAATAGCAAAAAGTAGTAGTAAAAATACACTTTATCTAGTCCTTGGCCTATATCCTAATCTGACTTTGGTGCAGGTCATGTTGTTCTTCACATTACTGTCTCTGGTAAACACACACTTATCAAATAAAATCAAAGGTAATTTGTCACATGCACAAGATCCAGAAGGTGTAAACGGTACAGTGAAATGGTTACTTACATAGTGGAGTCTTTTGTTTAGACATGTAGCTAGCTAGCTAAACAATTAACCAAAATCCCAACTCATACTACCATGCACCAGGCATGAATCTGCAGGTAGCTAAAGCTAACCAACTAGGTTCAATGTTAGCTAACTAGCTAACATTAGGCTATAACTAGCAATGCAAATGGCTTTCTGAGATACAAATAATATTACTACACAGATCATACATGTAACGTTAGCTAGCGAGCCAGCTAGCTAGCTAACAGTACGCTTTAACTTGCAATGAAAACAACTTTCTGACAAAATTAGAAAATGTAACTAGACTCTTACCTGTATAAATGGATGAACGCTTCTCCCCCTGTCATGGATTCCATGGTTGCCCTTAGTTTGAAGATGTAATCCGGAGACAGGTGTTTTATACAACAGCCTCCAGTGATCTCTTTTTGACTCTCTCTGTATTTGGCAATCATCTCTCTGCTTCCACTGGGCATTCCACTGATTTCAAAGCTCGGTCAACTTATTTTGTGTCAACAACACTGTTGATCGCCGTTTCTTCCCCCATCACAGTCATCAGAAGACTCTACAATGTCTGGTTCAATTCAAATGTTTTTACCTAAATCCGTGATTTTCTCATAGTCTGATTCATTTTCAGAGTCAGCATGGCATTTCCCACTGATCTTAGTCGATAGCGCTATTAACTTCAGGGCAGCAATGCAACATTTTTCAGTTCTTCATGATATCTTTCAAAAAAAGCTGCGGTAGAAAGGATTATCCACACATACTGACCAGCTCATGTTATAGACAGAAGCATGCTACATGGCAGACCAATCCGAACTCATCTCTCGGCATGTCCAGCCCATCCATTATCTCAACCAATCATGGTTAGCGGGAAGGTTCCTGTATTTTTCCGTGGCTAAACCAACTAGGCTCCTTTTTGAACAATTTTATTCTTATTTACAGATGGCATTCAAGTTTGTTATTATGGTACATGAAAGTTCACAAAAACGCATTTTGATTAAAAAAATATACGTTAAAATGACTCTCCTGTGAAGTAGTGACGTGCAACATACGCCCAGCTTGTTAAAACAAGTTACAAATGTCTTGAGTCTATAAGTATTGTTATGGCAAGTTCAGGATAAAAAATGTGCTAAACAAGAAGTTGCATGGACTCACTCTGTGTGCAATAATAGTGTTTAATAACCCCCTAGAGTCAATGTCCGCACCTCTGCGAAAATCTAGTTAACATAATAAAAAATATCCCCATCAAAATCTGTCTGTTTAAATTAGAGAGATCTGTTTTTTTGCATGGGCTGCATCTCAATCCACCGCATCCGCCAGTGGCAGCCTTCTGAGGTGGAAGGTGGCCGAGCTACAGCGGTGTTTGTCAGACCATGAGACATCCCGAAAATCGGTCTTCTCATGAAAACATCTGTAGTGTCCGAACGGTTTGGCCTACATGAGACTCTTACAAACACGATGGTGTTCTCCGTTTAGCTCTACTACCCCCACAAGCGCCACGTATGAAGTCAGTACCGCCGATCTGCCAACTTCTGTCTGTAGCGTCCGATCAGTTTGGTCTACACAGTAATATGACCCCTCTATGCAAAGGTGAGACTCTTGCAAACATGTACATGTCGGTTGTTTTGACGCCCACAAGCCTCACAAGACTCGTCTGAAGGTAGCCCGATACCAGTAAAAAATATGAATGGAAGTATATATGGAAGTAGTGTAGTGCCAATTTTATTTAGTTAAATATGGGTCCCAAAATGTTTTCATAATTTCCTATCGGTCTCTCTCAGATATAGGACAGACACTTTAAAACAAACTTAAATTTGATTTATTTTTTGACTATCTGTTTTTCCATGTATCAATCTGTTATTTGGTGCATTTCTATGGGCTAATAGCAGTAAGGCCAAATTTGATGTTTTATCAAATCATATATATTTTTTATATCTAAAAGGGGTCCTAAAATTCTAAATCAAATAGCTAAATTATCCTTGGTATGACCGTCTTAAAAAACAATTCCATATGTTACCTAATTGACAGAGTGAAAAGAAGGAAGTGTACAGAATAAAAAATATTCCAAAAGATGCATCCTGTTTGTATCAAGGCACTAAAGTAATACTGCAAAAAATGTGGCAGAGCAATTCACCTTTTGGCCTGAATACAAAGTCTTATGTTTGGGGCAAATCCAAAAGAACATATAACTGAGTACCACTCCATATTTTCAAGTATAATGGTTGCTGCATCATGTTATGAGTATGCTTGTAATCGTTAAGGACTGGGGAATTTTTCTGTATAAAAAAGAAATGGAATGGAGCTAAGCACAAGCAAAATTCTAGAGGAAAACCTGGTTCAGTCTGCATTCCATCAGACATGGGGAGTGAATTCACCTTTCAGCAGGACAATAACCTAAAACACAAGGCCAAATCTACGCTGGAGTTGCTTACCAAGAAGACATTGAATGTTCCTGAGTGTCTGAGTTACAGTTTTGACTTAAATCAGGGTGAATATCTATGGCAAGACATAAATGGTTTTCTAACAATGATCAACAACCAATTTGACAGAGCTTGAAGAATTTATAAAATAATAATGGGCAAATATTGTACAATCCAGGTGTGCAAAGCTCTTAGAGCAGGGGTGTCAAATTCATTCCATGGAGGGCCTAGTGTATGCTGGTTTTTAGTTTTTTTTCCTTTCAATTAAGACCTAGACAACCAGGTGAGGGGAGTTCCTTACTAATTAGTGACCTTATTCATCAATCAAGTACAAGGGAGGAGTGAAAACACTCGGCCCTCCGTGGAATGAGTTTGACGCGTGGCCTAGAGACTTACCCAGAAAGACTCACAGCTGTTTTCGCTGCCAACGGTGATTCTAACATGTATTGACTCAGGGGTGTGAATACTTATGTAAATTATATATTTCTGTATTTAATTTTCAATCAATTTGTTAACATTTCAAAAAACATGTTTTCACTTTGTCATTATGGGGTATTGTGTGTAAATGGGTGAGAGAAAAAAAATCGATATAATCCATTTTTGAATTCAGGCTGTAATGTGGAATAAGTCAACGGGTATGAATACTTTCTGAAGGTATTGTATAATGCATTTGTTAGAGAGGTTTCATATCGCTTTCATTTGTGTCCCCTGTAGCTTTAGAATCGCGGCAATGTTGGTTCCTGTTTCAGTCACGTCTTTGGTCGTGTTCGCGTGGGTCAACCAAAAACGTTGATTGGTTGACAAGTAGTGCCTCCCAGTAGCCAGGCGATGGCAGCATGGTGCCGTCGGTGAAAAATAACTGCAGCAATTGAAGGAGACTTGCATCAAAAACCGCATGACCTTTGATCACATGCTTTTTGTGAAGTTCATGCAGTTATCCACATAATGTAATACATTTTGAAAGGCGGTGACTTGACAAAGCGTATCCGCACGAACACGCCCATTGTCTTTCCCTTGTGAAAGAGGTCTTCTGACCTCGATGGGACTTCCTTGTTAAATAAAGGTTTGATAAAAATAGTCCTGTTGACCTTTGCCCTCTGCAGTGCAGCTGTCCAGTCTGAAGACAGAGATGGAGCGGGTCCAGTGTCAGAAGGAGAAGCTGCAGTTGGAGCTACAGACCTGTCACACCGAGCTACAAGGCCTCAGGGTGGCGCTCTCACACCTACAGGGAGACAGCAAGACTCTCAGCCATGACAAGGTACAGGGGGACCAGGGATAGAGGTGTGTGTGTGCCCATGTTATACCTGTTGTGTACTTATCTTTCCTACTTTGGGAACACGAACATGTTACTGTAGCTCTCTCCCTTTCTTTCCCCCTCTCTCACCCTCACCATTCTCAATCCCTTTCTCTCCATCTCTCTCCCAGGCGTCCCTCCAGCAACAGTGTTTGGAGCTGCGTAGCCAGATCATCAGTATGCGTTCTCAGATGGACACCAGCCAGACGGTGCAAAGGGACTTTGTCCAGCTTTCGCAGTCACTGCAGGTACAGTACACTGATTCAGGACCAGCACACTCAGGGTGTATTCACATTGGGTTGGTTTATGTTAGTTTACAGCACTGATCTAGGACCAGTCCAGCTGGATTCCATTTCATGTTTGGTCAATAGTCAAATGACCATGAGCCTTCCTCATTGTCTCTCTCCCCCTCCGTCCTTCATCCCTTTCTTCTAGGTGAAGCTGGAGTTGATTCGTCAGGCTGAAACTCTGGACCAGGTCAGGGACATCTTGGAGGAGGGGCTTCCTGAAGAGGGTGCCCCGCCCACTGATGCCACGTGAGCCTATCAGAGCAGCACAACAGAGCCAAAGCGACAGGAGAAACAGAAAGTATTCCAAAGGTGACCAATAAGAACGAGGCTGGACACGAAGAGCAACAGTAACCATGGAGAAAGATTGACCACTATCATGACTATCCCCACGTTGAAGAGGAGTGGGCTGAGCAAGGTGCTGTGCATAATCACTGATATACAAATCACCTTGCATTCCAGACACTCCTTATTAGATTGAGATCTGTGCTGGCCTTGTTCAGGCCAATCCTCTTCAACATTGGGAATCACTGCCTCGGCTTGTATTGTGACTTGGAATATTTGTACTTTGGAGCTGTTCAATGATGTTCAGATTCTTTCCATATTTGGGAGTTTTTTAAAATGTAATTTCTCATGTTCAATGACCAAACACTCATTCTATGACCAAACTTAACCCCCTTTTTTAACTGGACTCATTGAGATAACTTGAATATTTGTATTGAAGTTCCTGACTCGACATTCCCGCCAGTCAGATGTGATGACAAACATTCCATTACAGCATTATTGGAAGTCACTAAAATGTTGAAAAAAGGCCAGTATCTACTGTAAGTTATACCGTATTATGATACTTCTGACGCATGGAAATACACATATGCACACACTCACCCACCTCTCAGGACCAGCGGGCAACACACACACTTTGCTTGACTTCCAATCATTGATCTAAAAGCACTGCCCTTGTTGATACCAGCGAGTAACACTAAAAACCCTGTTCCCATTCTCTCTTGTTGATACTAATTGCCTTAATATATAAATATACATTGAAAGACTACTCATTGCAGGATCATGTTCTTCTTGTGTAATTGTTTGCAGAGAGAGAGGTGTATGTGAGTTTATTCACCCTGTTATACAGCTGTGAAGCATGGATCCCTTATAGTCGGCACATGAAAACCCAGGAGGCCTTCCACATAAAGTGCCTCCACATAAAGTGCCTCCAGAAGATCCTCTGTGTTACCTGGCAGGACAGAGTACCCCACACCGAGGTACTGAAACGGGCTGGCAGTGGTAGCATGCAGTCCACCTTAAAAAAATCACCAACTAAGATGGCTTGGTCATGTCATCTGCATGCCAGAGGGCACATGAAGGCCAACGCTCTGCTGGTGGCCAGAAGAAGCGGATGAAGGACCGAATTAAAGCCACTCTGAAGAGGTGGAAGATCAATCCATCCAGTATAGAGGACCTACCCTCCTGCCGAATGCTCTGGCGCTCTCATTGTGCAATGGGCATCAGGAGTATGGAGGACGAACGGGCATCAGGAGTATGGAGGACGAACGCACACAGCATGTGGAGGCAAAGCGTGCAGAGGCATGCTCACAGGGGGGCTACTCCTGCCCCCTCCAACCAAGCCTTCACATGCCCTGTCTGCAGCCGCAGCTGTAAATCCAGGATTGATCTCCACAACCACCAAAGGACTCTGCAGTAAAGGAGAAGATGCTTCTCATCAACCATAAGTAAGTGTGTGTGAGATACTGGGAATCAAACCAGAACCAATAACAGTTAACCAGCCACTCTCACATTCTCTTTAATACATAGTTTTATTTTTGAAGAATAGTCAGAATAATTTGAATATACTGTTCATGTTCATAACGCTTACCAATATATTAACTTAATTTTAATACATACACAGAAAGAAAGAAAAAGTATTTCTTTGTACGTTTTTTTTTTTTGTTGTGGTTTTTATAATTTTTTTTCTGGTGGCTTTTGTGTGCTTCATTCTTTGATCTTGTCAGATAGTTTTTCTCTCACTTCTAGTGACGGTCTCTCGTTTCTGGGAAGTGCTTCCACCGTTCCTCTTCTCATTCTTTTCTCTCCTTTATACCCCTCGTGATCTTTTAGTCCCACTTCTTGCTTACTAGGTTGTCATCAGCAACTGCATGGGAAAGAAAATGGCCGTCATTTTGAGGTTATTGGCAACCGGATGAGGTAGGACTAGACTCAAGTCCCAAATTGAGAACTAGCCCCTTGGAGGATCGGTATAAGCAATATGGGGAACATTCCAACCCAGCCTATAATTACCATATTTCTAATTATACAATCCTTTTAGATCTACATTAAGTACTATTTATTGATGTGGAGTTGGGCATGTCTATTATTCTGGTAATTTAGTTACATTTTAGTACTGCTCAATTGACGTTATCCAACACTTATATACTCAGTACCACATATTGGTGGTTCTGTGTCGCTCAGTTGGTAGAGCATGGTGCTTCCAACGCCATGATTGTGGGTTCAATTCCCAGGGGCCACCCATATGTAAAATGTATGCACGCGTGACTAAGTTGTTTTTGATGAAAGCGTCTGCTAAATGATACCAATATTTTTCATAATATGTTCATAAAAAAACCTGACTTTTCCACACAATCATAGGCTACTGTATGTTGACCGTAGTTACATGTTAATGTTGGAAAGTTGTAATATTAGCAAGTTAAAACCCAAGCTAGATCTTGCTAGTGGAAGAGTCTACACAGGCTACCTAAATACTACCTAAATGTGGCATTATAGCCATAAAATTAGACAAACCTTAAGCAATATGGGGATACATAGAAACCTGTAGGAAGACACTCACACATAGACTTCAGTGAATACATATGAGTGATATTATATGTATTATATATTATCAGTGTACATTAAGTGTTGACTCCATCTGGGCACAAAATCCAAAACCATTGATTCATAAACAAAGTGAAAACAGGATGGAGGGGGGAGTAGCCAAGGCAGTGGCAGGTATAGGAAAAATGGGGGAGAGGGGTTAGAAGAGATATGAAGGCACTTGATAGGAAGGTAAATCACATTAACCGATTATCATTATTATTAAAGGTTTTGCAATTAAATAAATAATATTTAGAATGGATGACAGTCTTAGTAAGCCATTGAAGCAGGTATGAAAGGCTGTGGATCAATGTTCACGCTAAATTGTGCGCGGCCACGCACCACCTCCAGGACTGCCGTGCAGAAGAAATGCCAGCCCGCGCAGAGATGCAAGAGATTAAACTTCACTGAGTTCGCACTATATAGATCATCGTTTTTCTCTGTGATCGAATCAACATTATATCAGCCACTTTTCAATGCAACAAACCAAATCTAAGATTGAGTCTGTGATTTTGTTGTAGGCAGAGCCACAGCTATCCTAGGTAGCCGATAGTGGGCGCTAGATCTTTTCCTCCTTAACTACAGACTTTGTCGCTATATTTAGCGAGTTTTCAGACCCCTCTAGCGACACATTTTCAAAAAAGCGACTAGCGACAAATCTAGCGACTTTTTCTGGTGTTATTGGAGACTTTTGGAGACTCTGACGTGAAAGCACGTATCGTTCTTACTCTTCTCAACTAGCAGCGTCCCAAAGCACTCACAGGCGGCCCAGTCCTCGCAGCAGTGCCTCCCAGCTGCAGTCAGAGCAGGAGATGTTCACCCCTCCGCGTCCAGACTGCAAATGAATCGCGCATGCGGGAAGCCACCGCTGGCTGATCCCGCCCTGGCTTACATTCAGGGCGGGATGTAAATGTAGGATGTTTTTTACTCACTTTTTGTCTCTCCCACAACGTCCATCACAATTACATGCACATGGCCAATTATGCAAATTAGGTGATAACATCATTTAGCAACTTCTAGTGACTTAGGACAGCCAATAGCTACTTTCCTTACTGAGGAGTTGGCAACACTGCAGTACACATATTTTTCCAGCTAGTTAAAAAGGAAAATGATGCCTTTGCAGCCTGAATGGAGGATGCTTTATGTACGAGCCGGCCCATGGGGGACACAAATGTATTACCGGCTGGGCACATCAATCCTAGACGATAGTACAGATGAAGCGCCCACTATCGGCTGCCTAGGCTAAGCCAAAACGCATTGGAGTATAATTATATTGACGGGTAGGTCTCTCAATCACCAGCGAGTGGATCCGCTTTTCAGATCAGAGCCATGCGTGTGCACATTTGTTGATATTCTATGCTAGTTAGCGAGTTATTAGCCCAGATATAGGTAAGTATTGGTGTTACAAAGGCTCAAGGCAGCAACCAGGTTTTCCCTCTACTCTGGCCATGCCCCTCTCTGGCTAATTACCACACCTGTTCCCACTGAACTAATTGACATTCCTGCACTATTTTAACTGCCGTTTTCCCCCTAGCTTTCAGTTGTCCTGGTGATTCAATCGGGTGGCCATCTTGGCTTTGTTCTTTCTTTGTTGTGCGTGACTGACCAAAAACCACAACACTTCCAAACAACCCAATGTGCTCTGTGTGTGCAGTAAAATCAAGTATTGGATTCCTGCTCCATCTCCTCATTCCTCTAATATCCTGACCGATGTGTTGCTGTAGCAACAGTCCTAAACTTAATTTACAGTCCACCCTAGCCCTAATGCCTTTTCTTAAATTGGTCAGCGTTACTGCTTTCTACCAGAGCATAATGTAAAAACGTTTTAAAAGACTGCATTGAACACCCTATATGATATCGAGTGCATCTCAGTGCTTGAGGCGTCACTACAGACCCCCTGGTTCGATTCCAGGCTGTATCACAACCGGCCGTGATTGGGAGTCCCATAGGGCGGCGCACAATTGGCCCAGCGTCGTCCGGGTTTGGCCGGTGTAGGAGTCATTGTAAATAAGAATTTGTTCTTAACTGACTTGCCTAGTTAAATAAAGGTAAAATAAAAAATTTAATAAAATATAGGCTACTGTAGGCTATATCATAGAAATCCAAATCGTGAAAATGTTATGAGATTGGTTTTGTTGGTAGGCCACTGATAGGCCTACATTATGCTCAAATAGCCACAATATCCTTTTGGCTACTGTCTAAAACTGTAAGGATACGCCAGAAGTTGCACAGAATTCTCACAACGTTCCAAGTTTCCACTCACAATACCTGAAATTTGCTCAGTGCCCAAAATAATTAGAGGGAACATTGCTGTGGATATTACAGGATATTATTACAAGGAATATTCTAGATTTAATCGATGTGTGTGTGTCCATACCCTCCAGGTAGTTGCGGGCCACAAACTTGAGGACTTCGTCAATGAGGATGACAGGGAAGGAGAGCTTGAGCACCACCATCCATTTCTCCACGTTCAAGTGGGTCAACTTGAAGATCATCTGCAGCGGAGAGGACAGGTACATTTCAGACACATATCACATACTACTACTTAGTTATCACATAATATTATTTAGTTATCGCATACTCTTACGGCTAGATTCAATCCGATCGCCCCTTTTCAGCTATGCACCTTTTTAAAAGCAATGTTTCCGCGTTTGCGTAGACCACTCACTGTAAACGCTGCATATGTTGGCTCAATCGGAAATGTCCTTTAAATGTCAATCGCACTATGACGCAGATCTTCTGCGGTCCAGATTGAATCTAGGCCTTACTCAGTTGTCAAATACTCTTAGTTCTCACATACTCTTACTTGGGGCTCTATTCAATCTGTATCACTGAAGCGTTACAGATTGTGCGATAGAAATGTTCAGGTAATTTCCGATTGAGCCGACATATGTAGCGTTTACCGTGAATGCAGTCTCCGCTAACGCGGTGACGTTGCCTTTAAATTTCAATCACACGCTTACGCTGAATTTCCGCGATACGGATCGAATAAAACCCTTAGTGTCAGGGAACTCAGTAAAGGGGACTGTATAACAATAATGTCTATAGCTAAAATGTTTTGCTGGGAGAGAGAGTGAGAAGAAAACAGAAGGAGAGCGAGAAGGAGATCGAGAGAGTAAGACAAAAAAAGAGGCAGAGAGAGATGGATGTAGGATCCAAACGAATGGTTCTTGGAGCCGGACAGGACAAGTATGTGAGGTAAGGCAAGGCAGACTCACGGGCATGGGGTCGACGTAAATTATCACGAAGTGGAGTGACATGGAGAGGGACATGGCTCCAACCAGCCACAGGTTGCTCCAGGGGGGCATGCGCACCAGGGACTGGTTCTCAGACAAGCTGGGAGAGGAGGGGAGGGATGGGGAGATGGAGGGGTTACGTAATGCACGCTGGCTGAACACTGTGTGTGTGCGCACGCTGAGATGTTTGGATCCTTCTTAAAATGTAAATTTGATTTGTGAATCCAAATAAAGTATTTAAAATGTGTGTTTATACACAGTTATCCACATAGGTGTATGCCAAGAGGTGTGCAGAAGCGTGTGGGGATCTGAGATTACATGGTGAGGGATGGAGGATCATGTTTGTTCTGCATGTTTAATCCAAAATTACTCTTTCAATTTCTTTGGGGTTATACTACACTTTCAATGTTATAGCTACTTCTGGGATTAGGCTTTCATATCATACTCTTGATACTCTGTGTTTTAGAAACACACTGTTATAGAAGTGCTATAATTTATAAACATAAGTGTTTTCTATAACTTCACTGTTCATGTTCTACCTCTAAATTGATATACTGTGTGTGTGTGTATCAAGAATTACAGTGCTAACAAACTACCAATGTTGCACATTTTGAGGACCCAGATTAAACCTACTCCTGTCCTGCTACAAAGCATGCCAAATGGATAATCTCCATTGAAAGTGCTTTTTTAGTCAAGGAGTAGGCTTAATCTGGGACTTAATCTGTTGAATCTTGCATTTCTAACATGAATCTTCAAACATTCCTTTATATTGAACCAGGCAGGAACCAAAGTTGCTTCTAGTTCAAGTTGCAGTCTGACCTGTTGAGGGCATTGCACATCTCAATGGTGACCAACACAGACAGGGCCATGGTCATGGGGGGAGCGGCCTCAAACACCTCACAGTGGATGCCGACAAAGTCCTCGTTTTCCTCGTGGCACTGCATGAAGTGGGACTGAGGAGAAAAATCAGAGAATTAGGATGGAACCATTTACTGGATTATCACAGAATCATTCACTGTACATTTTTGCTCAGTAAAAAGTTTAAATGTAGATCCTAGGTAGCCCCTACCCTTAAGATTAAATATCCCCAAGATTGATGATGATCATGATGATAATAATGATGAAGGTCTTTGACCATTTATGTATTTTAAACGAGGATCTCTTGATGATGATTATGGTTTTAGACCAATGATGCAACATATATGAATTTGGTGCTGCAGTGGCACTGTAGCACGTTTGTACTTTGCATGGTATATTTCATTATCTGGGATGGTGTTTCATGCTTGTTTTTATGTGGTGAAGCCAAAGACACATTTCTACATTGTGTGGACAAAGTTTTTCTAATTCTAAAAAGCAATAGTTGATTATGTGATACAGGTGTGTTGGTGCTGGGCTGGGACAAAAGCCTGCACACCCAGTAAAGGTGGAGACCACTCCCTGTTCTACAGAGTCTGGTTGCATCCCAAATGGCACCCTAGTTCCTATAGTGCAACACTTTTGACCAGAGCCCTATCGGCCCTATATAGGGAATAGGGTGCCTTTTGGGATGAAACCTCTGCTCTACTCACCAGACTGTACGTTTTTGCTCAATAACTAATTTAAATGTAAGTCCTATGTAGCCCCTACCCCCAGGATTGTATAGGATTATTATATATTTATATATATGCCTCTCCCATAGACACCAATGAGAGAGCAGTCTGCTTAGTTCATTGACTTCCATTGAAATATAAATTGGGGAGTGGGAGGTCTTGCTTCCTCTTCCGTATCTGATGCTACTACTTACCAGCTGGTAGAAAGTCACGCCAGGGCCGTCGTCACTGTAGAGGAACCACCAGGCGGCAGCAGCAACGGTGGCAGCACCGACGTAGCCTGGAACACACCACAGGAAGTCAGGTAACATTAATCTCAATTATAATTGGTCCGATTGATTTGATTTCCTTTACCTGTTGAAGTATCGAGATGAGGACATACTTTGTTGTTAGCTTGTGTGGAAATTCGCTTTGCATCACTTTTAATTTAATTAATATTTTTTATCTACTGTGTTCCTTTATCACGAGGATGTACAGAAACGGTATAACATTAATTTGATTATTGCTTTGGTTACAGTTTGTATCCCACCACCGTGCCAATAAAGCACTGTTCAATTTGAATGTGGTGTGGTAGAAGGGGGCAGGGTGTCTAGGCTGTATGCCAGAGGAGGCTCCTCAGAGGAGGAAGGGGTGTTTTTTGTTGTTGTGAAATATGAACGTTATCCTTTTTAGATAAAACGATACTAAATATATTCACGCCACCAAATAATTGATTAAAGGTCTACAGTAGCCTCAACAGCACTCTGTAGGGTAGCACCATGGTGTAGCTGGAGGACAGCTAGTTTCCGTCCTCCCAATCAAAAGATCAGCGAATGAATCTAGTACTGAAAGCATAAAATGTGGTGAGTAGTTGAGTCAGAGAAAGACAACAGTTGAACAGTTTTGAACAAATTAATTTCTTCAAAAATGATGGAGAAGCAAGAGAGAGAGAGAGAAAGCTAGCTATATAAATATTTTTTCTTCACTTTCACTTAGCTAGTGAATGCAGCTAACTAGTTTAGCCTACTTAAACACCTGGCTCAAACAGAGAGTGATGCTATGTTAGCTAGCTAGCTATGGCTATCCAACACTGGAACTTTTCTATGTCGAGGTAAACTTTTGGTTTTATAAATGTATTGCCATTGGGGCCTGCCGGTGTAACTGCTAAACTGCTTGCTGACTGTACTGCATGATTGTAGCGGGTTTACTAACGTGTTGGTTCTAGCAGCTATGTTGACTATGAAAGTGAACTGTGTTTGCGTGTGATCAGGGGCGTATTCATTCCGCCGATTCGGTTAAAACGTTTCTTAAAAGGAAGCAAACAGAACAAAACGGGGATAAACGTCCCTGAATTTGTCCAATAGAAACTCTTGTTTGTAACTGTTGGACTAATGATTACACCCTAGATCAGCTAGATGCAGGCAAGAGTGTGCAAGGCTGTATTGAATGTGTCACTGTCTGTCACCTTGATTACTGTAATCTTTCTCTCGACCTGTGCACCTATGTTGTAAACTTTCATTTATAGGCTAGGTTGTAGCAACCTAATGATGGGTATAGGGAGAGTATCATGTAGTAGCCTAAAACCTATCGACATCACATTGAGCTGGGTGAATGGAATATGAATGACAGTCATCCAATATGCTGTAATAGAAATAAGGCCATGCTCATTAAAAAAATTATCTTCCTCCCTCATCTTAAACGGCACTGACTGCCACTGCTGTACGCCCATTATTGGGCAAAGCAGCAGTCGGTGAGGGTTGAGGCTCTAAGCGTTTGACATTGGGTCAGGGTTGTAGTTAGATTGACGATTGAGCCAGGGATAGTTCAGGGTTGGAGAGTCGGACATAGCTTCATGAGATAAAATTAGGTCAGAGATGGATAGTGAGCATACTGTCTATGTTGAACCTGGAACATGGTCCTGTTCCAATATCCACGCTAGCATACTACATAAGCCCTGTTTATACCTACTGCTAACAGGTCCCATGTGGCTCAGTTGGCAGAGCCTGGCGCTTGCAACACCAAGTTTGTGGGTTTGATTCTCACGGGGGACAAGTATGAAAAACGGTGTGAAAATGTGTGCGCTCTACTGTAAGTTGCTCTGGATAAGAGCGTCTGCTAAATGACTAAAATGTTTAAATGTAAAAAATGTGTTCTTTGACCTGATCTTGTTTGTTTACACTTGGAAGATCTGATTACAATCAGATCACAATGAGTCTTTTAATCGTCTACACCTGTCTAAAAATGTGGGCACAATTAGAATGTGGACAAAGGATGCATGTTAGCACCAGGTATAGACGGGGCTTTAGAAACAATATCCACCATAGCATACTACTTAAACAACATCCACACTAGCAAACTACTTAGAATGAGGCAATGTATTGGTCATGCATTCACAATGGTATTCTAGTGACCCCAACGGTTGTTGAATGAAAAAGAGAGGAGGAAAGCAGAATGGACAGTGCATTTGTAATTGTATTGTTTTGTTGTGTATTTTATTGTATTTGGTGTTTTTGATGTGTTCCTGACTTCACAAAATACATTTCCATGCAAATGGACAATAGAACTGTTGTGTCACATTATATGGTATGGCATCTTATGCTATCGTACCTCCGATGGCGAGGTATCTGAAGAACAGCCATCCAGAGATGAGGGGCTCCTTGGGGGAGCGGGGCAGCTTGCCCATGATGTCCAGGTCAGGGGGGTTGAAGCCCAGGGCGGTGGCAGGGAGACCATCAGTCACCAGGTTGACCCACAGCAGCTGGACAGGGATCAGAGCCTCCGGCAGACCCAGGGCAGCGGTCAGGAAGATACTGAGAGAGGTGGAGGGATGGATGAGGAGAGAGAGAGAAAAGGAGAAGAGTAAGTTGTGACTAGAACTGTGTGTGGCAGTCATATTGATGTTCTTGGCCACGGTGGTGTCTTGGTCACGCTCATACTTCTTCTTTATTGGCTGTCAAGTAGTTATGCTGCTACTACAGTGAAGTCTTCCAACAATTCCCTCTGGATTGGCGGTCAACCACGGTTATGTGTCAGGCGCGATGTGGTCACGATGTGTTCACTTCAACCCCCCCCCCCCCGAACACTCACCAGACAACCTCCCCAACGTTGGAGGAGATGAGGTAACGGATGAACTGCTTCATGTTGTTGTAAATGGCTCTGCCCTCCTCGACAGCTGCCACGATGGAAGAGAAGTTGTCATCAGCCAGGACCATCTCAGAGGCAGACTTGGCAACGGCAGTGCCAGAGCCCATGGCGATGCCGATCTCGGCCTTCTTCAGGGCGGGGGCATCGTTCACTCCATCTCCGGTCTGGTGGAGGGGGAGGAAGAGAGAGAAAAGAGAAGAGAAGGTAGAGAAGGAGGATGACTGTTAGTGATGTGTTCTGTGTGATATGAATCGTATTTGGCAAATATTCCGTTTTTTGTAAATTGGATGGTTGTACAATAAAGCTTTTGAGTTTTGAATAGGAGTGTCTTCTCTGTTCCTGTTCCCTCCCCTCACCATGGCGGTGATCTCGTCGAAGCCTTGCAGGAACTCAACGATCTTGGACTTGTGAGAGGGCTCAACGCGGGCATAGCAGCAGGCCTTGCGGACTGCTTTTTTTTGCTCGTGGAGGGGCAGGTCGTCAAACTCACGGCCAGTGAAGGCTCTGCCAGTGGTGTCCTCATCCTCAGTGAAGATGCCAATACGACGGCAGATAGCCACGGCTGTTCCCTTGTTGTCACCTGGGAGGGAGGGAGGGAGAGAGAGGGAAGATAATGAGTTGTCGTAAGATATTGTTTCTCAATTTATTTCCGTCCTCTCTGAGACCACCAGAGTGAAATATAATACATTTTAGTCATTTAACAGACGCTCTTATCCAGAGCGACTTACAGTTAGTGTGTGCATAAAATTTTTTTTTTTCATACTGGCCCCCCGTGGGAATCGAACCCACAACCCTGGCGTTGCAAACGCCATGCTCTACCAACTGAGCTACACGGGACTAATGGAGGAAAGACAACCAACGGAGAAGAGGTAGATGGATGGAAACTGTGGGAGTGATAAAGACATGGAGACAGAGAGAAAAGGTGAGTTAGGGTTGCAAAAATCGGGTAACTTTCCCACAATCCCCAGGTTTTCAAGAAATTCTGGTTGGAGGATTCCGGATTTCCTGTTTATTCCGTCTTTATTCAGGGAACTTCCAACCGGGTTTTCTGGAAAACCAGGGAATTTTTGGAAAAGCACCAGATTTTTGCAGTCCAGTATACTGACCAGTGATCATGATGACGCGGATGCCAGCAGCCCTGCACAGCTCGATAGCTCCAATGACCTCCTTACGAGGGGGGTCCAGCATACCCACGCAGCCCACGAAGGTCAGGTCAGTCTGAGGACCACAGACAGAGAGAGAGAGGGGAGACGTAGGGTAAGTGCTTTGGAAATGAAATGAGTTGTTGTTCAAATAACGCTTGAATGCAATGAATTTAGATAGAAATTCCAGTAGTAGTGTTTGTATTTACCTAGTAATTATGATTATTATTAAATGTTTTGTTGTTTTTACCCCATTTTCTCCCAATTGCTAGTTACGACCTTGTCTCATCGCTGCAACTCCTCAATGGTCTCGGGAGAGGCGAAGGTCGAGACATGCGTCCTCCGAAACATGACCCGCTTACTTCTTAACACACTGCATGCTTAACCCGGAAGTTAGCTGCACAAATATGTCGGAGGAAACACCGTTCAACGCCACAAGGGGTCGCTAGAGCGCGATGAGCCAAGTAAAGCCCCCACCCAAACCCCCCCCCCAACCCGGACGGCGCTGGGCCAATTGTGCACCACCCTATGGGGCTCCCGGTCACGCCTCCAGTGCCTTAGACTGCTGAGCCACTCAGGAACCCCTTTAATTACCTAGCAATTAAAACAGTAGGTACTTAAATTCCTCTTCCCTGACGCCCCCCCCCCCCCCCCCCCCCCCCCCTCCTTTCTCACCTCGTAGTCGCCGAACTTGGTGGCGTCTTCGAGGTTCATCTCTTCCATGCGGAGGGGTGTGTCGCGGGTGGCCAGTGCCAGGCAACGCAGGGTGTCACGGCCGGTACCCCACTCCTTGATCACAGCCATGATCTTGTTCTTGACCGGCTCGGACAGGGGCACACGGGTGGTGCCAACGCGCACATATGCACACCTCTCAATAACACCCTCGGGAGCGCCCTAGGGAGAGAGGGAGAGAGATAACGGTCAGGACTCAAGGAACATTTTGGAACTTTAGAAACGATCACTGCAAGATTGCTATAGAGATTGTTGATATGACAACGTCACTGGGACGTTTACCCTGAGCGTTTCCATAGAGACGGGTGCCGGTGTTCTCTCACCTTGACGAACATCTTGTTGCCGACGGCAGCCTTAGAAGACTTGGCTGGGGAGCAGAACACTGACATGGACTTCCTGTCTCTGGAGAACTCCAGGGTGAACTCCTTCTTCATCAGCTGCTTGATCACCTGGGAGAGAGATGGAGAGGACAGGGGTTAGAGAGGGAGGGAGGGGGGGGGAGAAATGGGGCTGGAGAGGGGTGGGAGGAATGAGAGGGATGGGATGGGGAATAGGAGTAGGGGGAGTGGAGGGCCAGAAGGAAAAGACGGGGGTGAGAGAGGGTGGACTGGAGAGGAAAGGTGAGAGGGGGGAAAGGGGGAGGGAGGGAGGAAGACTTACAGAGCAACAGGCGTTGGCTCTGTCGGGCTTGGACAGGCCGCGCACTTCAGTGTTGAACACGTTCATCTTCTCAACCAGGCAGCACAAAGCGGTCTCAGTGGCCTCGCCCACCTTCTCATAGATGCCCTTAGACTGCAGGAGAGAGAGAGGGGAAAGACACTATCAGATCTGGGCTAGACTAATGCACATATCAGCTACAGAAAATAACAGCTACACATATACAGATACTGAGTGCTGACACAGTACTGCACACCCACGCACGCACGCAAACTCACTCGCACACACATAGAAAGCTTCTCCTTACATCGTTGTAGTCCAGAGAGGAGTCGTTGCACAGAGCACAGATGGTGGACAGCTCCACCAAGCCATCATACTGGCCACACTTCACTAACGCACCATTCTTAGTACTGAGAGAGAGATGGAGAAGACAGTAAGTCAGGTAGGTGTGTGTGTGTGTGTGTGTGTGTGTGTGTGTGTGTGTGTGTGTGTGTGTGTGTGTGTGTGTGTGTGTGTGTGTGTGTGTGTGTGTGTCCAGACTATACTCACACTTCTCCCTCGGGGGTGTACTTGGAACCGGAGATGTCGAAGGAACCCAGAGAAACGCTGTCTCCGTCCACTTTGTCAATGATGAACATCTGGAATCACATTACAAAGACACAACACACACTGCTTAACTATGCACTTTAAAAAAGCTAACTGAACCAATTTCTTAATCAGCGTTATTTTGTGAGTTGGGTGGACTTTAGAAGGACAATAAATTGATCTAATATATGTGTGTAATTTTTGGAGTAAAATGACAAATTCATGTTTGCCTTTGGAAGGCAACACTGTATGTTGGGTCTGCTACAGTATATGCCCAAATGTTGAGCATACTCACAATCCTATTGCAGTTGGCTGCATTATCCTATTTCCCAGCATGCTTTATTGCAGTTTGAGTTTTTCAATACCTGTGTTTTTGCTTTCATAAAGTATTCATACTGCTTGACTTATTCCACATTTTGTCGTTACAAAATGAATTCAAAATGGATTAAATGGAATTATTTTGTCACCCATCTCCACACAATACCCCATAATGACAAAGTGAAAACATGTTTTTAGACATTTTTGTTTTAAACAGGCTATGTCTAAATACACTTACAGATACCACTGAATTTGAAGGTAAGCCTTGAAATACATCTACAGATACACCTCCAATTGACTCAAATGATGCCAATTAGCCGATCAGAAGCTTCTAAAGCCATGACATAATTTTCTGGAATTTTCCAAGCTGTTTAAAGACACAGTCAACTTAGTGTATGTAAACTTCTGACCCACTGGAATTGTGATACAGTGGATTATAAAATAATCTGTAAACAATTGTTGGAAAAAATTACTTGTGTCATGCACAAAGTAGATGTCTTAACCGACTTGCCAAAACTATAGTTTGTTAACAAGAATCTTGTGGAGTGGTTGAAAAACGAGTTTTAATGACTCCAACCTAAGTGTATGTAAACTTCCGACTTCAACTGTACATATTAGAACCATTTTAGAGATCACATTCACAAATCTCGCATTCACACCTTAACGCCAGCCGAAAATAGAGCCCTATGGGGTATTGTGTATAGGCCAGTGACACAAAGGCCTCTATTTTCGGCTGGCATTAAGGCGGCACTAGTGTCAAACGCATGTCAGTTTGCAATTTCGTTATCTAAAAACTGGCGCACTGGCATTTTCCATCTCTAACGCCAGGTTCGGTAATTTACCTGTTTTATATCAGCAAGCTTGCGCTCAGATGGGAGGGGTGGAAATATTTTAGGCGTGTCCTTAACATGATCCAAAGTGCTAATTTCAGGCAGAGCCGGTAGCGATATTTAAGACCAACCAAAAGCTGGTTCTAGCAGTAACTCAGTTGATTATGGCATGAATTTTGACAGCGGAAACGCAGCCTATCCAGCCGTAACGCACACTGCCCATATGTGCATGGAACAAGAGTAGCCTAATGTGCTTTTGGTGGCTGTATACTTTGTATTTAGAAACATAAAAAAACAAATGTTTTTTTCCCATTTCGTTTTATTTGGTTAAAAACCAAGACGTTTGTGTGTGTGTGTTTGTACGGCGTGTGTGTGTACCCACCTTGGTGACACACATCTGGTTGGTGGTGAGGGTGCCGGTCTTGTCGGAGCAGATGACGGAGGTGCAGCCTAGGGTCTCCACAGAGGGCAGGGAGCGGACGATGGCGTTCTTCTTGGCCATGCGGCGGGTACCCAGAGCCAGGCAAGTGGTGATCACAGCGGGCAGACCTGGGAGGGAGCGAGAGGGGGGAGAAGGGGTAGAGAAGGAGAGAGAGGGGGAGAAGGGGGAGAGACGGTAGAGAAAGAGAGATAGGGGGAGAAGGGGGAGAGATGGTAGAGAAAGAGAGATAAGGGGAAAGAGTGTTATTAGTTATACAGTGAACCATGTTCTTGTGATGAGAAACCTTGCTTGAGACCTGAAGACTTGCATTAGTTTTGCTACATAGGCTTTAGCTCAGCAGGTTAACACAGTCTAGAGCGTGATTGGTTGATTTACTTTTGTCCACTTTACTTTGACCCATCTAGACTTTTTAGATTAGATTAGTGCTATTCCAGTATCAGGTGCTTACCCTCAGGAATGGCAGCCACAGCCAGGGCCACAGCGATCTTGAAGTAGTAGACCGCCCCGCGGATCCAGGAGCCTCCATGGACGGGGTCGTTGAAGTGGCCGATGTTGATCATCCACACGGCAACGCAGATCAGGGAGATGACCTGTTATGGAATAGACAACAAAAGGTTGTCAGATAAAGCCTGATTTTAAAAAGATATGTAATACAATTGTCATCATTACACTATTGGTTTCCTTACATTGTAAGTCTATGGACAAGGTATGACTTGGTTTTATTTCCCTGGCACTGTTTCCAAATGCTTATGTTTGACCATTTGTGGCACAAATTCCATTGTAATTTTGTAATTTGGGTGAAATATCTCTTTAAGTTGCATCAAATCAAAACGGGCAAAAATTGGCTACTTGACCATTTTAAGGCAGCGGGGAAAATAATCTTGTCAAGTTGCAACAACTAAAATAGTGTAGTAGTAGTAGAAATAGTAGTGTAGTAGTAGTAGTGTAGTAGCAGTGTAGTAGTAGCTGTCTGTCTCACCTTGGAGAGCTGCTCTCCGAACTCGTCCAGTTTGGCCTGCAGGGGGGTCTTCTCCTGCTCTGTCGCAGCCATCTGGTCACGGATCTTCCCGATCTCTGTAGAGACACCGGTCGCCACGGCTACGCCGATAGCCTTGCCTGAAGCGATGTTGGTGCCCTTGAGGTACGGACAGAGGGAGGGAGAGAGAGGGGAAGGGGGAGCGAGAGAAAGGGAGGGAGAGAGGGGAAAAGGAGATACAGAAAGAGAGAGGGGAGAAGGAGATAGTGGAAAGAGGGAGAGAGAGAGAGCGGTCAATTAATGGCTGTAAGGGTGGAGGAGATGGAGAGTACAAGAGGCTCATATAGAGAAGGGCAGGAGTGTGGAAATCGACAGTTAGATTTATGGAGAGATTCCAAGATGGAGGAATAGAAAGATAGATGGATAAATATATACAGTAGGAGAGGCCCTCACAGAGAAAAGCATGTTCTTCTTGTCCTGGTTGACAGCTCTCATGTCCGGGACGGCATCGGTGTGCTTAATCACACTGACAGACTCACCTGAAAGAGGAGAGAGACAGTTTTACAATAAAAAGGTTTTACATGTATTTATTTTAGGGCTGTCAAAAGATTAAAAACATTTAATCAAGGTAACTCTCAGGATTTAAATGCAAATTCCAAATGTAATTTAAGATTTTTCATACAAAAAACATTACAAGAATATTAACGTTTTTAGTTTGTATAAAATAATGGTTATCCAAATAGATTTATGTTATTTTGGCCAAATTGAGAAATCACACTTTATTTAACCTCAATGTCAGCTTGTTTTTACATGGCATTGTAGATTTTAGCTGTATAGATGATGTATTTAGGATGTTTTCTGTGTATTTTCAAAGCTTTCAGACAATGGGATAAATCTTGACAAAAGAAAAGTGCACTAAAATTACTAAAAGTTAACTCGAGTTAACTGATTAACTCTGACAGCCCTAATTTATTTCCATTGTAGTCCTGTAAAGAGGGTTAAGACTGAGACAGAGTTGATAATATCACTCACCAGTGAGGATGGACTGGTCAACACGCAGAGTAGTAGAGTTTATTTTGACGAGTCTGATGTCAGCGGGGACTTTGTCACCAACTGGGAAAGAAAGAAAACACATAGACAATGTTAGTTCAAAGTAGCTCTCTCAACCTCACGCATATACACACAAACTACACTCCACTTCAGAGTTAATTTCACGAATGTTCAAACCTAATTACTCAATTTTAATTCAGAGTCTTTATCACAATCAAGGTTTCCCCTGGTTAACGTTGTGCTTAGTCTGACTTTTTAGAGTGCATTCTGACAATACACTGCTTTTTTACACTGTCAAAATATCACTATTTGAAATTTTGACTCTTCAGTATGGCAAAATAGAGAGCGAGAGGGTGTGAGAGAGAGAGGGAGAGAGATAGAGAGTTGATAATAGAGAAAAGTCCCCTCATCCAACTAGTCCTGAGGCTAAGTTTATTAACCACTACCAACCCAACAACGCCTCAGGACAGCACTCAGACAATCTGACCCAACCACATTATAACAAAAAAAAAGTAAATTATATAACCTATTGGGAAAACATTTGTACTATTTACACATTGTAACAACACTGTACCTAGTTAATAATGTAACATTTCAAACGGCTTTCTCTTTTGAAACTTTTGTGTGTTTAATGTTAACTGTTAATTTGTGATTGTTTATTTCACTTGCTTTGGAAGTACATGCCAATAAAGCCCATTTGAATTGAGAGAGTGAAAGAGAGCGAGAGAGAGAGAATGACATGACTGACTAGATTTAGCACTGTGGATGAATAGCGACACTGAAAGCTGACCCCACAGACAGACAGACAGACAGAAAGAGAGGGCGAGACCTTGGGGACACAGTGATATGGAGAGAACAGGTGAGAGAGAGAGAGAATTTATGAGAAAGAAAGAATGTCTAATAAATAAACAACAAAATGTATGGATGATGGGTACACTATGTATATACATTTATCTCTCTCATTCTTTCTATACCCCCCTCTCTCTTACCCTCGGATTGCCTTAAAAGGACCCACTGTCTCAAGGACACAAGGACAGCCACCCTCCCTCCCTCCCCCCTCCTCCCTTCGTCACACAATGACACTTAGTCATTGTCATACACTCTCTATCCCTCTCTCTCTTTCTCACCCTCTCAAATACACACGGGCACACACACACACTCATTCACATGTCCAAGCCACACATCTAGTGCATTGGTGCAGGTCCCGTGCGGCTCAGTTGGTAGAGCATAGCACTTGCAATGCCAGGGTTGTGGGTTCGAAAGAAAAAATGTATGCACTCACTAACTGTAAGCCGCTTTGGATAAGAGCATCTGCTAAATGACTCAAATGTCAAATGTAAATGTAATTAATTGATTTTAGTCTATATTCTTAGTAGATCACCTGCTAAATTTGTTGTGCCCGCAAATGAATAACACGCATTAAACATTAAAATGTGCCCTTAGTAGTAAAATCTGTCCCTTTATCTATACTAGGATCAGATTAGCCAACCCTAAACCTAACCTTAACCATTAGAGGGATAAACCAATCTGACCCAGGACCAGCCACTGGTATACATCTCAAATGGCACCCTATTCCCTGCATCAGTGGTTCGCAAACCTTTTTCGGTAACTGTACCACCAACTGAATTTTGCTCTGCCCTGAGTACCCCTGAAGTACCCCCTCATGTGCATTTTACCAGTAGACCTATGGTGTCATGAGTCTTCAAGTACCCTCTGTGGATAGCCCAAGTACCTTCAAGGGTCCTAGGGCCTACATAGTGCACTACTTTTGACCAGAGCCCTATGGCTATAAAGTAAAAAGAGTGCCTTTTGGGATGCTCCCTGTGTCTGTCAACCAGGCAATATTCACTATGGGTGTTAGGCCTTGTTTTGGGGGGGTTGGTATAATATATTAGCAAACCCTAACGACGTGATGTCAATCTGAGAGGATTGGACAGATTCAAGCACTTTGTGACTCATTTTGTGACAAATTGTACGTTTTGTGATAAAAGTTGTTGTAAAAATCTCTAAACCTTCATCTCTGATAGGCAAGGTAGATTGTTTCGCTTACATCAGATCTACATTCATTTTTAGTGGGTATTGGGGCTAAGGGTCGACTTGGGACTGGGCCTACAACTCTAGGGCCTAAATGGGTAGATGTTGCCCTTGGGCTCAGATCTAGGATCAGCCCCAAAATCGCAGCCCTTTAGTCATTAGGTAAGAGAAATCCAAAACTGAACCCAGATCAGTGTTTAGAGGCTTATACAGTTCTTACCTAAATCTGAACATCTGAATCTGAATCTGAATCTTACCGGACACCTCCACCACATCTCCAGGGACGATCTCCCTGGCCTTGATCATCTGGACGTTCTTCCTGTCCGACCGGTAAACCTTCCCCATCTCAGGCTCATACTCCTTCAGAGCCTCGATGGCGCTTTCTGCATTGCGCTCCTACAGGGCAACAACAACCCCACAGAACATCAGTTCCTCCTGACCTCCCTTCCAGAAGTGTAAAGCCTGACTTATGCCAATATGCCCACCCCCTACACCCGTCACATCCACCCCCTCCCCGCTCCCTCGTCCCGTAACCCCCTATGTGTGAATCCTTGTGCATAGTTTCCAAATGACCACCACAAGGCCAATACGGACCCGCTACTTGCGGTAACCCGATCGTCCCTCTGTATTTCTACTGTGGGTTTGGGGGCTGCTGCATTTTCCCCTATAACACACCTCCCCCCACCCCCGCGGGTAACACATTCTGACCCTGAGCGGGTAAACTAACGCATGTGATGTATTCTGTGTGCGCATGCGTGTATGTGTGTGTGTGTGTTTCCACTAATTGACCTGCCAGACTCCAACGATGGCATTAGCGATGAGAATGAGAAGGATGACTAAAGGTTCCACGAAGGCTGTGACTGTTTCCTCACACCCCTAGAAAACAGAGAGACCACGAAGGCGTAGAGATGAGAGAGAATAGAGAGAGAGAGAGAGAGAGCGAGAGAGAGAGAGAGACGATAGAGAGAGAGACAGAGATGATGATCGGAGAGACGAGAGAGAGATGAGAGGGAGCAGGAGGGGGAGAGAGAGGCGAGAGCTCTCGATATGGATGCATGGTTTGTATTGATAATAGAATACACTCTTTTCCACATTTGACAATATGCGGCCATATCAGAAACCTTTAGTCTATGCCAGCCTTTTTTGTCTGTGTGTGCATGTGTGATAGAGGGAGTTATTGTGTGTGTGTGAGTGTCACGTGTTGTTGTCACTGGTCTGTTTAGGAAAGGGGCTATGTTGACATGGACACAGATCAGTTCTGATCCACTGAAGCAGAGTAAGAAGCAATCAAACCCACAGAGAAAGAGAGAAATCCCACCATTAATGTATACATCGATCCATTATCCTTTATTCCTTTGTCCAAACCATCCTCTTAACCTTCTTCTTCCGCCTCTCCCTTCTCTACTCTGTTGTTCCTTTGTGCAAAGATTTGACTCTTCCATCCTCTTTTTTCTTTCTTTCTTTTGCTTGTTTCTTCATTTCCTTCTTTTCTTGTCTCTATCCATTTATTCTCTCATTCCCTCTCTTTTAAGATCTCTATATCATGCATCCTCTCTGTCTCTCTATTCCAAAATGTACTGCATTGAAATCGATTGTAGCCTTCTCACACGTACCATACTATCATAGAACCTTAATTTGAAAGTACATTACAAACATTACACTGATATTGCCAATGCATTTATATATTTATACAGTATATTCACTTTATATTATGCATTTATGAAGTACATATTATCATTACAGTGTCTTCCTCAACCATATACTGTATGTACCTATCACCTATCTGTTTGTTTGTCTTTGCAACAAACAATGCCATTGTGCAAAACTATCTTTCTCCCTCTCTCGCTCTCTCGCCGGCAATCCTTCGTTCCTTTCATCCCTGACCTTTGTGAAAGGATACAGTTTCTCGGCCTGGCTTGAGACTTTCTTAAAATAACGCGCCCTCTCTCCCCTCGCGCCCTCTTGCCACACACACACACACACACACTACATCGCATACACACACCATTCTTTCTAAGGCCATAGTGACAGCTGGTCAGGGACAGAGTGTAAAGGGTTGGGGAGGCGGGGGGGGGGGGGGGGGTTAAAACATTGTGTCATCCCCTCCCCTACCCCAAAACAGATTTGAAAAGAGAGAGCGAGACAGGAGGGCAGAGGGGAGACAACAGTGAAATTAAATAGTGAGCGAGAGGGAGGGGGGAGGGATTCCTAGAGTGAGTGAGCGAGTGTGTGAGGGAGGGAGGGAGAGAGGGTGGACATCAATCCATATGAAATATAACCTGACGGGTCACAGCATGTGTTCTGTGTGTACGCAAAGCATAATTGACCTGTGTGTGTACAGTATGTGTCTTTCATAGCGCAGGTATGTAACCTTGTGTGCATGCGTGTTTGTGTGTGCGTGTGTGTGTTCGCTGTCAGTGTCCTCTCAGGGCCTCTGCCACCATGCACAGCTGCTACGCTGAAACATCTACCCATCCTGCACTGTGGTAAGGAGAGGACGTGGAAGGAGGAAGTTGACAGGAAGTGACCTCACAGTGACCTTACACCAACAAACTCACACATACACCCAAACCTATCGACCTGTATAGACCCTACCCCCTATGTGGAGCACTCAATAGGTATTATCAATACATTAATATCTTCCCCTTGCTCTCATTACACCAATCATTGAGGAGCAGACCAGATAACATCACTTTGTCTTGTACCAATGAAGCTAGAGACAGAACATCTAAAGTCATTCGCCATTCTAACGCAGCAATGAATCTAGTGACTAGAACGTCATGTCTTTACCTTGTCTTGTGTCATTACTGTGTAATATTTTCTATATGCCATAGTCAGCCAAAATCAGTGACTACGTTTTGTCTACTTACAAAAGAGATGCAGGCAGCCAGCAGCAGGATTCTGACCAACAGATCCTCAAACTGCTCTAAGACCAACTCCCAGATGGTCTTACCTGAGAGAGAGAGAGAGCGAGAGAGACAGAGAGCGAGAGGCAGAGAGCGAGAGACAGAGAGCGAGAGGCAGAGAGCGAGAGACAGAGAGCGAGAGAGAGTAGTAGAGGAGGGAATGAGAATAATGTCACTGTGCGTGTGTGTGTGTGTGTGTGTGGAAATGTTCCCTAACAACGCGCATGCCATCTATTTCCTGTGTTTGAGGGGTGCAAAATCCACTTGTCACTTAAATCACACTGGATTGATTGCTTTCATTTTACTCTTTCATACTCTTGCTTGTGCCTGTCGTTCTTTCCCGTAAACGTTACAACCGCAGATACATTGGCTTTCCGTTGAATCTATAAGAACACTAAAGCTTCGTCTGGAATTGAACGCACCGTTTCGACACTTCACAAGAAAAAGAAAGATAACGTTATTTTGATGGGGGTTCATTATTTCTGAAATTTATAAAAGTAATCATTTAATACAGTTGAAATGTTTACAAATTAGATGCGCTGAAGTGAAAGCAACTTCCGAAAATGAACTCTCGGGTTATGGTGATATTACACTATATATACAATAGTATGTGGACACCCCTTCAAATTAGTGGATTCGGCTATTTCAGCCACACCAGTTACTGACAGGTGTATAAAATTGAGCACACAGCCATGCAATCTCCATACACAAACATTGACAGTAGAATGGCCCATACTGAAGAGCTCAGTGACTTTCAACATGGTCATAGGATGCCACCTTTCTAACAAGTCAGATCATCAAATGTCTGCCCTGCTAGAGCTGCCCCGATCAACTGTAAGTGCTGTTATTGTGAAGTGGAAATATCTAGGAGCAACAACGGCTCAGCCGCAAATTGGTAGGCCGCACAAGCTCACAGAACAGGAATCGTCTGTCCTCGGTTGCAACACTCACTACCGAGTTCCAAACTGCCTCTGGTAGCAACGTCAGCACAATAACTGTTCGTCGGGAGCTTCATGAAATGAGTTTCCATGGCCGAGCAGCCTCACACAAGCCAAGATCACCATGCCAATGCCAAGCGTCGGCTGGAGTGGTGTAAAGCTCGCCACCATTGGACTCTGGAGCAGTGGAAACGCGTTCTTTGGAGGGATGAATCATGCTTCACCATCTGGCAGTCCAACGGACGAATCTGGGTTTAGCAGATGCCAGGAGAACGCTACCTGTCTGAATGCATAGTGCCAACTGTAAAGTTTGGTGGAGGAGGAATAATGGTCTGGGGCTGTTTTTCATGATTCAGGCTAGGCCCCTTACTTCCAGTGAAGGGAAATCTTAACGCTACAGCATACAATGACATTCTAGACGATTCTGTGCTTCCAACTTTGTGGCAACCGTTTGGGGAAGGCCCTTTCCTGTGTCAGCATGACAATGCCCCTGTGCACAAAGCGAGGTCCGTAAAGAAATGGTTGGTTTGGAAGAACTTGACTGGCCTGCACAGAGCCCTGACCTCAACCCCATCGAACACCTTTGGTATGAATTGGAATGCCGACTGCGAGCCAGGCCTAATCGCCCAACATCAGTGCCCAACCTCACTAATGCTCTTGTGGCTGAATGGAAGCAAGTCCCTACAGCAATGTTCCAACATCTAGTGGAAAGTCTTCCCAGAAGAGTGAAGTGTTAAGTCCCGTGTAGCTCAGTTGGTAGAGCATGGCGCTTGCAACGCCAGGGTTGTGGGTTCGATTCCCACGGGGGACCAGTATGAAAACATTTATGCACTCACTAACTGTAAGTCGCTCTGGATAAGAGCGTCTGCTATATGACTAAAATGTAAAAAAATTGAGGCTGTTATAGCAGCAATGGGGGGACCAACTCCATATTAATGCCCATGATTTTGACATGAGATGTTCGACGAGCAGGTGTCCACATACTTTTGGTCATGTAGTGTATGTCTGATCTCGCAAACAATGTAAAGTAGGTGTAATCTAGAGCCAACCGTGTTGATTTTTAATCCGAGGGTATCCTGCTATTGACACAATTGTTGAATTATGCAAAAGTACGTGACAACAGTAATTAATGAGGCAGTCTAGACAGTGCAGGTGAGAGTTGGTCCTATTTCTCCCCTTTATGTTAATGTCGTAATATATGCAAATACACCCAGTGTATTTATGCAAATGAGGCACATATAATGTCCTTAGTTTAACACACACAAAAATACCTGATACAATAAGAAAATGTATGAGTGCATTCTAAGAAAAAAAACTCCATTATTTGTCCGTGCCAGTAAAATGTTTTATGTGCTATAATTTTGTCAATATCTGATGGATTCATCCATTGTCATCCATTGTCCAACTGTTGCATTTATTAGAATTGTTTTTAAAACCTTTTAACAATTTCGATGACTATTGCTAATGTCGCTATTGTATCATGATGATATAGTATTGACAGACGTGAGAATCATAACCGTTACAGGGAGGAATAGTCAGCGTGACAATAATCTCTCATGTGTAGACACATGCAACACAACTGGAAGGTTCCCACTAGATAACACAGCCACAAAGTCAAAATTGGGTATATTATAGAAATGTATCAAAACAAACATTTGCTTGTTGGTCTTAATTTAAGGTTAGGGTTAGGTATAAAGTTAGCAGTGTGGTTAGGGTTAGGTTTAAAACACAGAAGGCTACTGAGGGGAGGATGGCTCATAATAATGGCTGAAAAGGAGTGAATTAAATGGTATCAAACACATGGAAACCGTGTGCTTGATGTGTTCGATACCATTCAATTTATTCTGTTCCAGCCATTACTATGAGCCCGTCCTCCCCAATGAAGGTGCCACCAGCCGCCTGTGGTTTAAAATCAGATTTTAAGAAGATCAATTGTAGAAATAGGTGGGGGTTCATGACTTTGTGGCTGTTTGAACTATTGACGAGCCAACTGAAGCATCTGACGCAATTACGCACATTTTTAGTTCTGTGTTTTCAAGGTTTTATGTGGCAGATGTGATGGGTAAGTTAGGACACAGATCTGTGCATAGGAAGATCCTCTTCTTTCAGGGTTATGACAAGTTTGACAACAAGAGCAATCCCATTCACATCCTCCCCTTCCTTCTGTCTGAAGTGTGTAGCCCCTCCCTGTCAAGCATCGGATTGGATAAAAAAATATAGCTACTCTACACCAACCATTCCAATGATTTTAAACCCTAGAGGGGGCGTGAACAGAGATAAATGGGCGATTCGGAATGTCTGGAGGGTTCGTGATGACAGAAGTCACGACAACACGACTGACAGGAAGTCCATCATCCCAGGCAGAAAGCAGAACAACAGGTGTGTATGTGTGTGTGTGTGTAAGTGTCTGTTTGTGTGTGACATGGTGACAAGAAATAAAGAAGTAGTGTGACTGATGGGATGTGTAACCTCCCGGACACTGGGACGGAAATAGGAGTGTGTGTGCAGACCGACCACAGACAGGTGTGTGAGGGGCAAAGATAAACGTTTGGAACTCACCAATCTCAGCTGGCAGCTCTGTAAAAGGGGAAAGAGAGCGAGAGGAGATTATTAGCATAGCATTGCTATTTGCTACTAAAATCGCTAATTGAGAATAGCATTAGGCCTACTACCTCTAACTTTGATAGCAGAAATGCTAGGTCAGATCAGATCATTGAAAATACAGGTGCAAAATTTTGCATTTGATACAAATACCTATAGTTAATTAGCTAAAAACCTTTACTTTGGTCATGTCATCCACCTTTTGATTGATAACTTACGTCAGGACTGAAATCTATCTGAACTCAACTCAAATCTTCAAATTCTGCAAAAACATGAACAAACCAAAGAACTGGCATTGCACAACTGTGATTCTACTTTATTTCTAAAGGATCAAACTAAATGGTTTTCTTTAGCAAAAGTTTGCAAACGTGTTAAGGCCTTGGTTTGTCCCAGGTCGGCTCTACAGTAGCCATAGCAAACCTCTGTCCTTCTCACTGACCTCTGATTGGTTAGCCAATCAGAGCCTTGAGTCAGTCATTGCTTTTCATTGGTTGGATGAGACAATGACTATACCAATGCTTTATATCATGATTTAAGCATGGATGACCAAGAAGAAACATTTTCATAAAAACATTATCATAAGCCTCATAACTTAACTTCTGCCTCTGTATATCTAGTCTGAAGCTTAGCCACTCAATGGTATTATCAAGTGTGCTAACTGCAAATACACTAAAATAAAAGGACTGATACAACAGATATGCATGTAGAAGTTGTCAGGAACTTCTGGAAACCAACCAACCAACCACAATAGAGAGCCTGTACTGGACTGATCACAAACTACACTACACAAGCATCCCTTGGTGCCGCTGACCTTCAAATGGTATCTGCAACACCATCACAAGGTCACGTGAACCATTTTGGTTGCTGCGCGCCAATGTGTCAGCCAGCCAGCCAGCCAGCCAGCCAGCCAGCCAATCACAAAGAGTCAACATTCGACCTTCCCCTCGTCATAACCAAAACAAAGACTAACTGTTTTCCAAGATACATTTTTTTCCAAGTCAGAGGAACACCTGTTGCTGTCTGTCTGTCTGTCCCTCCATCGCATCCATTCTTTCCACAGCATTTAGCACCAATTAACCCTATTTTGGGTCCGAACCTCTACACCCAACCAGATCCTCCTCCTTTTTCTCCTCCTCTTCCTCCTCCTCACCATCATCTTTCCAACAAGCCCTATCCCTCCTCTTATCCACCTCCAAGTCCCTCTGTCCATCCCTTGGTTTCTCTATCCTTTCCCATCAATCCATCCATCCATCCATCTCAGTCTCTCTTTCTCACCGTTGTGACCATATCTGGCCAGGTTCTTCTTGAACTGTTCTGGTGTGAGGCCGGTGGTCTGGTCGACACCAAAGTATGACACAACCTCTTCCGGCTCTTTTGCGTGTGCATTCTCCATCCTCACCAAACAGGAGACGCTTCAGAAGAAGAGGACAAAACAAAGACACATTTAGGACACTATCCGGTAATGCGTGGTTTGGTGCAGTAGGTAGGTAGGTAGGTAGGTAGGTAGGTAGTTCTCCGGTTATGAGGTTTTACAACCAGAGAAATTAATTGTTACCCACCACTTTATAAAAGTGTAGGATTGGGCTAAAAACTGTCAACTCCCTCTCCTCTCTCTCTCTCACTGCTCTCTCTCTCACCTCTCCGGCAAACTGGAGCCCTGGACTGACAGAAAGTGCAACCTGGCACAGGCTCCTGAAAAGTTTTATACAGACACAAAAGTGGGGCGATTGGTGCTCACTCACCATGCGCCTGCGCCTCATTGGCTGAGGGGAGCAAAGGTGGGTGGGCCCGGAGGGTCCTATGGGGGGGGGGGGGGATTACGCGTGGAAGAATTGGGCACCAACTGCAGAGGGGGTCCGCTGTCTGCCGTCAAACTGAAAAGAAGGTATGTTTTTGGATCGAGCATGGTTAGTAGAACAGGGAGGGGGAGCTGGGGACAGGGGTGCTTTGAATGAGAGGTAGAGGGCATTGAATGATGGGCCCAGTGTGCTACTGTATGTATGGCAGATAGGACGGGTATTTTGGATACATTTGGCATACAGGACTGTTCTACAAAGTTATTGAAAGTGGTGTAGGGGGTAAAACATATGACATATTTAAATCAAATGGAATAACAGATATGACTATTTAGGGGGTAAACAAGTGCAGCATCAAAATTGGCAAGAGAAGAACATAATTATTTAACCAGGGGTGGGGCCTTTGCAAGGGTTGCAATCTCAGCCCCCCACTCTTCAATATTTACATCAACGAATTGGACACTATTCTAGAAAAATCCTCAGTCCCTGGTGTTAGTCTCCACAATTAAGAGGTTACATGCACTTGCGCTTGCTGTCAGCCACAGCACATGGCTTACAGCAGAGCCTGGACCTGCTAGAGCAGTACTGCCAGACCTGGGCCCTGGCAGTAAACCCCAAAAAGAAAAAAAGAAATTATTTTCCAGAGAAGATCCAGATCTCAGGGAATTAGACCAAAGTTCTCAATTGGTACAAATTATATAGAGTACTACACACACTACAATTACTCAGGTTTAAAAATAAGCTCAACTGGACACTTAAATGGGGCACAGAATGAACTGAGAGAGAAAGCACGCAGGGCATTCTACACCATTAAAAAATGAATTCAAATTGAAATATCTATAACAGTTTGGCTAAAACTAATTGAATGTGGCATTGAACCAATTTCTTATAATTATAGTGTTCTGGAAATATTCCAAGATCATGTTGTGGGTTGTCTATAATAATTCATAATTCCCTTAATGTTTATAAAATATCAGAGAAATAAACCCTGAATGCATTAAATATAACACTGCAGTATGGAAGGGAACATCTTATAACAAAGAATAATACTGTTTGACATCTTTGAGTTATAATCAAAGTTCAAACTAATATTAGAAATGTGTATTTCTTGCATTCATTGGTGGCATATCCTTTTGATAAAATATTTGTCAAATGAATGAGACTTCAATTCTACTTCCTTCAATTCAAATTGAATTCAAATCAAATTGAATTTTGACAATAACTAGACTAAATCATTATTCAAATTACAAAAATGACTGACTAAACTAAATCTAAATAAGAGTGCCAAAATGTTCACTGCTTGACAGTAAAACACAACAACAAAATGTTAGAAAATAAAATACATTAAAAACAAGAATTTAAAAAAGAGATAGAAATAAAGAACTGATAAGGAATATGATGAGCATGTTTTAGCAATTAATAAATGAATGTGGCTATTCACTTAAGATGTCCTTATTGTTTGGATGCTCCGTCGATTTGGACTTGAGTGTCTGCTGAATCAATCATTAGGTCTCTGTAATGGATGTAGTTATTGTAATGTAGTGGTTCTCAGACCAAATTAAAAAGAAAGTCACACACTATTTGACCAATGTTTCAGCTAAAGAGCCTTCATCATCAGGGGGAATCACCTCATCAGTGGGCTATGGGGGCTATGGGGGCTATGGGTATGGGAACTGATAAAATATGCAGGATGTGGGGGCAGTACTTTGAGGAATGACTATGAGCGAGGCTAGTAGGAGTAGCGATATAAGAAGTGGCCATTTGTGTTGCAGACCTGGATTCAAATACCATTTGAAATCAATTCACATACTTTATCTGGGCTTGATTGAGTTGCCTGACCCAATACAATGAAACCAATAGAACAGGGTTCCCCAACTGGCAGCCAGCGGGCCGAATTTGGCCCGCAGGAGGTTTTATTTGGCCCCCAAAGTTTCTTGAGCAATTGTATTTTATTATATATATTTATTTTTAATCATTGTTGGACATAAAAGACTGTAAAAACTGCAGGAAATCAGCACCAAGTGATTTTACGCATAATAGAGAAACACGTGATTGTATACAAATGTAAGCGACGTTTGAAATTATTATGGTTTAGTCAAATATTATCTATGTTTGGGCTTATTGCGGTCAATTTGCAGTCTACAAATTATTATGTTCCGGCCCCCCGACCATCCGCTCAAGAAAGAATTGTCCCGCGGCTGAATCTAGTTGATGATCCCTGCAATAGAAAGTCGCAAAACTGCAAACCCCACCCATCTGGCACTCCAGGCAGGCTAAAGCAAATGCTAAAAGTATTTGAAAACATTCAAATAGTGTGTTTTATTATTAGGGGAGTGCAACGTTTGAGGTAGCCCACTGTAACCGTAGCTACAGTAGCAGTTGGGCTGCCTCAGTATAAATAGCCCTCCATGACGTAGTCAGACAGCGGTATGGCGCGATTCACAAATGTCTGTGTTATTTTGGTGTAGTGGGGGAATGTGTTATCCCTGTTAAAGCAACATATGTAGGGGTTGAGTGTTGAAGGTTAGGTTAAGGTTGTTCTTATTCGTAGTTGTGGTGGGAGGAAGGGGTAAAGTGAAGTGAACAGACAGTTCCTTTAAGCAGGCTGACCTGACATCTTGTCATTTTGATAAACTTACATGCTACATGCTTATATGCTCTGTGGCTCACACTATTCTAATGTACAGTACCAGTCAAAAGTTTGGACACACCTACTCATTCAAGGGTTTTTCTTTATTTTTACTATTTTCTACATTGTAGAATAATAGTGAAGACATCAAAACTATGAAATAACACATATGGAATCATGTAGTAACAAAAAAATGTTAAACAAATCAACACATATTTTATATTTGAGATTCTTCAAAGTAGCCACCCTTTGCCTTCATGACAGCTTTGCACATTCTTGGCATTCTCTCAACCAGCTTAAAAAACAAATAATAGTCCCACTAAGCCCAAACCTGATGGGATGGCGTATCGCTGCAGAATGCTGTGGTAGCCATGCTGGTTAAGTGTGCCTTGAATTCTAAATAAATCACAGACAGTGTCACCAGCAAAGCACCCCCACACCATCACACCTCCTCCTCCATGCTTCATGGTGGGAACCACACATGCGGAGATCATCCTACTCTGCGTCTCACAAAGACACGGCGGTTGGAACCAAAAATCTCAAATTTGGACTCATCAGACAAAGGACAGATTTCTACTGGTCTAATGTCCGTTGCTCGTGTTTCTTGGCCCAAGCAAATCTCTTCTTCTTATTGGTGTCCTTTAGTAGTGGTTTCTTTGCAGCAATTCGACCATGAAGGCCTGATTCACGCAGTCTCCTCTGAACAGTTGATGTTGAGATGTGTCTGTTACTTGAACTCTGTGAAGCATTTATTTGGGCTGCAATTTCTGAGGCTGGTAACTCTAATGAACTTATTCTCTGCAGCAGAGGTAACTCTGGGTCTTCCATTCCTGTGGCGGTCCTCATGAGAGCCAGTTTCATCATAGCGCTTGATGGTTTTTGCGACTGCACTTGAAGAAACTTGAAACTCTTGAAATGTTCCATATTGACTGACCTTCATGTCTTAAAGTAATGATGGACTGTTGTTTCTCTTTGCTTATTTGAGCTGTTCTTGCCATAATATGGACTTGGTCTTTTACAAAATAGGGCTATCTTCTGTATACCAACCCTATCTTGTCACATCACAACTGATTGGCTCAAACGTATTAAGAAGGAAATAAATTCCACAAATGTACTTTTAACAAGCCACACCGGTTAATTGAAATGCATTCCAGGTGACTACCTCATGACGCTGGTTGAGAGAATTACAAGAATGTGCAAAGCTGTCATGAAGGCAAAGGGTGGCCACTTTGAAGAATTTCAAATATAAAATATATGTTGATTTGTTTAACACTTTTTTGGTTACTACATGATTCCATATGTGTTGTTTCATAGTTTTGATGTCTTCACTATTCTTCTACAATGTAGAAAATAGTAAACAAATAAAGAAGAAACCTGGAATGAGTAGGTGTGTCCAATCTTTTGACTGGTACTGTATATCCTCCACTCTTAGCCTACCTCATTCCAAACCTCCTTTTCTCTCATTGTGATATCATGTTTGTTACAGTTTCATCCACCCAGGGTTGTAGGTGTTGGAACTCAGCTTAAAACGGACTAGTTTGATATTACTTCTAAAAAAGAACAATGGAATTGTCACATAATCTTCTGTCCCATGTTAAGGTTGTGGGACTTCCCCTCTAAGTCGTTCCATGTCATTTCAGCAAGCCATGCCACCCACCATCTCAGATTATTCTGAAATTGTTTCTGTAATTAGAAACAGGTAAGATTGGCATTCCTGAAACATTATTTTGTTTAAATTAAATTTGATTTCTGAGAAATTAAGCTAATTGATTGCACCCAAATTGGCCATTTTAATTTATGGGATTCAGATCATATTCAATAAATCTAGTACCCAACATCCGATTTGGACCACACTTTTTCCTACCAATGAGTAAGACATGAGGAATCCAGTTCTTTTTTTCAAAAGACACCCACGGACTCCCCACACCCCATGCCAATCCCACCAGTATACAGTATCAGTTCTCTATGTTTGACAATTAGTATGAAGCATTGGCTTGGAGTATTGCTTCTACATACAATGTAATTAGAATCTGGTGATTTTTTTTTCTTCTGCAGTTCAGAATGTTTTGTCATTTAAATCGCTTGCATTATTTACCATAAAGTAGTGTGAAAGTAGATTTGTCTCACAATGAAAATAAATTGTGTGGTCATCCTCAAAATTCAAGCCAGACCTCCATGAAAGCAATTCAGTTTTTCCTAATAGCAACCTAATGCTTCAACCCAACTCTCCTTGAATAGTCCAATAAGTAGCCGCTTTTTGAGAGGGCTATCCCTATGCAATTCTCATATGAAGACTTTTCCTACAAGCCCAAAACTGATGGAGAAATGGGCTAGG